AACTTACCTTGAAGTCTTATACAAATTTGTGTCCTTATAAATTCTCTTATAAAGCACTCTGGGGGAAGGTACAAGGGGTTTGCTTTCCACTATAAGATATTTTTTCATCTGCCATTTGCATACTACATTTTTTCCATATTAGTTTTAATCATTTTTTGCTGATGTATATTTTCCCTTGTTTTTTATACTTTTTTTTCTGTTTCTTAATTTATTGATACTTAACATGTAAAGATTTGTCTAAACGTATTTATGCCGATTACAATGTGGCTAAATTCCCCTTTCCTCCACCTCCGTCCTTTCCCCTCATTTTATGAGTGACACTGCAAAGGTCAGCAAATATGGTGTGTACTAGAAATTGGCCCATCTCCTATTTTTGCAAATAATTTTATTGACACCGAGCCACATTTCTTCATTACGTAGTGTCAGTGGCTGCTTTCCTGGTGCAATAGCAGAGCTGGGTAGCTGTGACAGAGATCACATGGCTTGGGATATCTGAATATTTACTGTCTGGTGCTTTACAGAAAAGGTTTGCTGACCCCTGACGTACAGAGGAGGGAGCATCTATAGCCTGAGGGCATGGGGTGGGCTGAGTAAAGGTTTGGAAGAAATTTTTTCTCAGCTAGGCCTGTGTGCAGCCTCTATTGGCCAAACTAGGCTCTGTTCTCTCTTGCACTTTTATTAAAGGTCTTCATCTGGGTTAACTTCATAATGTCTGGGATATCCCTTTACAACCAGAGATAAACTTGGGCTTCAGATTCCTCCACAATTTCTAGTTGGATTTGGGCATCTAGAACTTTTGCCACTTCTAAGGAGAGGCAGTAATACAAGAGGTCTTACCTTGTATTCAGGCATCAGTTGTTTCTACTTTAAAATTGCTGACAGGTATGTGATAGGTGGGGTTGACTCACTACTTGAGCACCTTTAAGACAAGGAGGACTTTTCCTGGGCTGTCCCTAAGGATTCTGGGCTCAGCCTCTCCCTGCTCCTGCAACTGCCTCAAATCAATTTTTTATGTCTGAAGGGATGGGCTTCCTCTTTTTATAAAGATTTCTGTGTCACCAACTCTCCTTTGGTAAGATTTTTCAGGTTTTTGTTTTCCTCAGTTCTCCCTCTTAAAGAGTATTAAGAAAGTCAGTAATAGGAGCTTTCTAGAGCCCACACCATGCTCCTTAAAAGAGCCTTTGTATTTTTCATTAGCTAACAACTGCTGTGTGGTGTATTTTTCTGTTTTTTTTCCCTTTAACCTATTGGTTGTGCATATTTTAGATTATGCAGGAATGAAATTTTGAGATCTGGTTTTCCTCTACCATCTAAAACTGGAAGATTGTATATTGGCTTTAGAATGCTGTCAGTGAAAAGCTGACCATTTGCGAAAAGCTCTTTTGTATTTACTTTCCACTTACAAGGTGAAGGGTTTGCAAGTGGGAATAGCTAACCACAAGGGGGCGTGTTTCTTTTGATTTTATTTCTTTGAATAAACTAACGTATATAGTGTATACTGGTTTTTATGTTTTCATTCAAAACGACCCATGAATAAAATTATACAAGAAGAATGTGTTATTTTGTAAATAATTTCATTCAGTTGCAAAACCGCATCAACAATATTTTGTATACCTACAAGGTGCAAGGCACTCTGGTAGGCTGTTTATTAGGTGGGTAACCTGTTAAAACGAGTAATTCTGGATGAGTTTATGTTGAACTAGTCTTTCAAAAAATAACTATTGCATCATACACTTTTTTAATGAGAAGTTCAAATACCACCAAAAAATATTAAAGATATTAGTCAAGTGTCCACAGATATCACACCACACAGTTGAAATTTCCTCTTCCTCAGAGATATTTTCACTTTTCACAAGTCCAGTTACACTTAATAATAAGGGCCTGCATATGGACTGAGACTTGAAAATCTATTTTTCTATTTTTTTAAAAACCATTCAGAATCATAGCATTTTATTTTATTTTAAAGATTTCACCCATTTGAGAGTGAGAGAGAGCATGAGCAGCGGCAGGGGCAGAGGGAGAAGCAGACTTCCCACTGAGCAGGGAGCCCCATACGGGGTTCAATCCCAGGACCCTGAGCTCAGGACCAGACCTGAAGGCAGACACGCTCAACCCACTGAACCACCCAGGGACCCCTATTCCTTCTATTTTTTAACATAGTATATGAGTATAGTCTTCAACTTGCCTAAAGTCACTGAAGAAAGTAGCATTTCATGAAGAGTTCCTGATAATGGGGTAAGATACATGACCAGATACTATTTAATAGCTGAAAATTATGGCAGAAAATATTTAGGAAAAATAAGGAACTTATTATCTCACATAATTAAAAAATTCATGGATAAGGCTTCATTGGCCTTCTTTTTAGACTTATTTGTGCTCAGGCTCTTCAGAATGGCTCAGAGCAGATGCAGAATCATGTCTTTAAGTGTGTGTGTGTGTGTGTGTGTGTGTGTGTGTGTGTGTCTTTGTATGTGGCTTTCCACTGAAAGTAAAAATCCACACTGGCTTTCAGGACCTCCCAGAATCTCTATGTCCAGGTTCCCTTTATTCTCTTCAAAATCATCTCACCAGGCTTGCTCACTTGCTCGTTGTTTTTTGTTTTTTTTTTTTTAACATTTCAGCCATACTGGCCTCTCTTTCATCCTTCAAACATGAAGAGTCTTTCCTACCCAAAGCCAGGTTGCCTCTGCCCCCAGTACTGCACAAGGCTGGCTCCTCTCATCCTTTAGATGTCATCTCAGGTCAGGCGATGTTCATCCCCCATCCCCCCCACCTAATCCTAACAAACCTGCACCCTGCTCCTTCCCTACTCATTTCCTTCTAAGCATTCATCACAAACTGTCCTTATTTTTATTTATTTATTTATTTTTACATATAGTGTCTTCCTAACTAGAATGTAAGCTCTATGAGGCAAGGACCTTACTTTTATAGTTCACAGATGTGTCCCTGGTGCTTAAATAACAATGAGCACTCAATAAATATTTATAGAATAAACAAATTACTTATAAAATCAAGCAACACAGAAACTTTCAAAGAAGAAAGCAAAAGTATTTTTAAAATCATCCATAATTCCACTACCCAGATACCGTAACTATCATCATTTGGTGAATGTTATTCCATCCCTCTTCTCCGGGCATTAAAGTTACATAGATCTAATTTTTAAATGCAATTATATCTTGTGCTATTTTTCTTTTTTAGATTTTTCTTTTTACTTGAATTTAACAACAAAGTAGGGAATTACAAATCAGGTTATTATTTATTCACAAGACATAGCTGCCCCTAAAGAATCCTTCTAAAATTAAGAAACAAGATTATGAAAAATATTAAGAGGCTTGAATTGTATTTTGTAATGACATGTTCCAATTTGGGGCAGTTTCTATAATTTTTTTTATTATTTCAATGTTATTTACATTTTATTCCATAACCATAATCCCGCAATTGATGTATTTGTTTTTTAAGATTTTATTTATTTATTTGAGAGAGAGAGAGAGTGAGAGAGAGCAAGAGCAGAGAGGAGAGGGAGAGGCAGACTCCCCACCGAGCAGGGAGCCCGACAGGACTCAATCTGAGGACCCTGGGATCATGACCTGAGTCAAAGGCAGTGGCTTAACCAACTGAGCCACCCAGGCGCCCTGATGTCTTTGTTTCATAAAAATTTAAATGGATTAAAATCTCATCTTCAGTTGCTTTGTTTTTACCATTAACTTCTTTATTACCAAGTTTTTAGTTTGATTACTCTCTTGATTGACTGGATTTTTGCCTGAGGAGATTTTGTAAGAAGAACTCTTGGATATTTTATTTTTTGAGGTTTTGCAGATTTAGGAATATTAGGCTATGGCCTTTTACAACACCCATTTGGCTGTACATAACATTTTGGGTCATGCTTTTGTTCTTAGCCTCTTTTAGACGTTGCACCATCTTCTGGCATTAGAGCTCACGGAGAAGTCTAAGGCTGTTGTCATCATTCCCCTGTTTTTCCTATGTTTGTGAATATAATTCTTTATCCTTGATGTTTAGCAACTTTATAGGAATATATGTTGGTGTTAGTTCTTGTCAATTTTTCCTCCCACGGGCTACTACTACCTGGTATCTAGCCTCATTTCCAGTACTTCTTGCAGGGGGCATGTCCACCTTGCCAACTATTTGCCCTTCTGTGACCTCATAATGCTGCTTTATATCCCTCTGGCTTGGCACACCTTAATGAAATTCCCTCATCTCTACCCTCACTCTGACATTGCTGCTCTTCATTCTAGCAGATTTAGCTCAGGCATGCCTCTGTGAAGACTTCCTAGACTATACTTCTCAGGTGACCAGTCACTTTCCCCTTACCGCCCCCATGAAATGTAACATGTACCTCTAGTATTGCCTTTGGTACAGTGACTACCATTAATGGTTCATGACTGTCTCACATCCAGCACTGTGAATTCCAAGGGGAGGGGCGCCTAGCGTTATCCACAAAACTGTGTAAGCAATTTAAAACAGAGTTCTTGCTGATAAAAAGTTGGAAATGTTGGACGGGTAGATAGAAATTGGACAAATTACTGAGCAGCTAGTAAACCGGGAAAGTGTAAATCTGACACAGTTCGAATACTCTGATAAATTGAATGCTTTGCCTTTAAGGGACATTAATCTTATACCGGATATTGGGGTAGATAAGAAATGTCAAAGACAAGACTACTGGTGAACGAGCGGGAAAGCCGAACTTCCATGACGCAGGTGACAAGTGTCCAGGAGAGACCGGTGTCTGCTCTCCCGCACCTCGGCCTCTCATCTAAGAAAACGGGCATGAACGGCCAGCCCTTTCCGCATTTCGTGATACCTACAGCTGAAGCTCGCCACCGCTCCCCACCAGCAAGTGGAAGTTGAGCTTTTTGCGGAGCCGTCTGCAGCTGGAACCTTGCGGAGAGAGCGGCGGGGCGGAGCTAGTTTTGCGCAGGCCCTGTGTGGGCGGAAAGAGCCGTCAGATTGCGCCTGCGCTCTCGTCGACCTTGCTCCGCTTCCGCGGTCGGGATGGTGTTGCGATGTCAGGTAAGGGAGAGGCGCCCTCACAGGTGCATCTGCCCCCTTTCCTACCTCCCTCCACAGACCCGGCCCTGCTCAGCCGGATCCTCATCGAAGCCACCTTAGTTGAGTCTTTCGTCCGGTGCCGCGCCCACTACCACTAGTGTTGCCCCTCCGGGCTGCGGAGGCTTTACTTCGGCTGCCCGAAAGAAGGTCAAGTTCTGTCCGCGAACTCTTGGTCTCCGAGGTGACGGCGTCAAAGGTTTCTAAAGGCACCCTCGACTTCGCCCCCATGCTTCTATGATTATACGTTTTGGCAAAGACAGTTTTCAAGTTCATGCATTTAACTAAGAGTTCTTGTGAAAAAAGGTGCTTCGTGTATGCATTTGCAAACCCTTGATTTTTTGCAAACCTCTATTTCGTAGAGAATTTGCACACTGGCACAGGTGGGTTATTTAATTGGTCGGATTTCTTAGATACCAGGCTGACGGCATAGGTTTGTCCTAGGAAATACCAGTTTAACCTGTATATCAAACCCACCTGCTTTTACAAACGTCAGGGTTTGTATGTTGCATAACTTAATCCTTGGCAGCTGGGTTCGATGTAATGTGGACTAAAATCAAGGGTCATATGACAAGCGTAAAAGACGTGTCTCTTTTTTTTTTGGTTATATGTAATTTATCTCTTGACTCCGACATCAGTTCACTGCTTAAGTGTTTATAAAAGATGCTATAATTTTATGTCAAATAAAGGACAACTTAATGGTTTTTAAGAAGATACCGTTAGGGTTTTGTTGTGGCAGGCTTACATTCATAAAACCAAAAAGGATTTGGAAATTAATCTGAATTGTGCTTAAAACAAAGAGTTTTCAAAATTTGAACTTGTAATTACACTAACATTTTTTTGGATGATTTAATTATTTCTAATTTATAAAATTTGTTTTTGATTAAAGTAATTGGAAAGAAAAAGCTCACGGAGACAGAAAAGGTCTATTACTGTTAAAGGCATTTCCTCTCCTTTTCAGGTTGAAGTGTTATATTTTGCAAAAAGTGCTGAGATAGCAGGAATTCGCTCGGAGACCATTTCTGTGCCACAGGAAATAAAAGCATTGCAGCTGTGGAATGAGATAGAAGCACGACATCCTGGGTAGTTAAAAATTTGTAGAATGCATATGATTAGCACTTTTTAACATTGAAAAATGTGTAAATGATTAGAGAAAAACTAATTTTTATTTCCATGCTTAATGTCAAAAAGGGTCAGTAGACGTGTTTTTCTGGAACTACTAATAAATTCTGGTATCTAAAAATGCACAATTTCTTAAAGCTAAAGATATTTTACTAATAAAAACCACAGTGAGCTGGAATACTGCCAAAGGGACATGAATATATTTGCTTTTATAATTTATAAAATACTGAAAATGTAGGTTCTGCATTTTTATAACATTACAGGAATTGTTACAAATTAAGTTGAAAACTTGTGCTTTAGTTTTATGTCCTGCCCCTTCTTTAGAGAACTCAAAGTAGAAATTTCTAAGGTTAAAAGAAAAGTGAAAGCTCACAAACTGTAGCTACTGCTGAATCGAGTTTTCATAATATTTGATTTTTTTCTGGTTCTTAAAAATCTGTAATTTACTGCTTTTGTTCCTACTTCAAGTCCTTTTTTGCAACGAAGTATAATTATGGCTTATTTGAAGGAGTTCCAGGAATTTTAATTGTGTCACTTAAGTCTGTATAGTTTTTTTTTTTTTTAAAGATTTTATTTATTTGAGAGAGAGAGCGAGCGAGAGAGAGCACAGGTGGGGAGGAGAGGGAGAAGCAGGCTTCCCGCTGAGGAGGGAGCCCGACGCGGGGCTCAGTCCCAGGACCCCGGGATCATGACCTGAGCCGAAGGCAGACGCTTAACTGAGCCACCCAGGCGCCCCTGTATAGCTTGTTAAACTGGGAAGTCCTAGTGCATTGTAAAAGATATTCCACAATGTAGGTTTAATGGGAAAACTATTCTTGATTTCATATCTTTTAAGTTGCTTTTTTTCTTTTTTCTTTTTCTTTTCTTTTTTTTTCTCCAAGAGCATGGGGAAGGGGCAGAGGGGGAAGGAAAGAGAATCTTAGGCAGGCTCTTCACCCATCGTGGAGCCCAACTCGAAGCTCGATTTCACGACTCAAAGATCATGACTTGAGTGGAAATCAAGAGTTGGGCGCTTAACTGATTGAGCCACCCAGGTGCCCCTTTGAGTTGCTCTTAAAGTGCCCTGATAATCGATGAAATGGGGTGGGGCCTTGGTCCTGCTTTATCTTTAACCTTTTACCTGTTGAGAGACACTGGTTTTGTGGGAAAATTCTGAGATACACTTAGTATACTTGCGTACTGAGAAGATCTCCTGGGGAGGGCATGTACTGATTAGGAAATCTCTCTCTTTTTTTTCTTGACCTGGTCTGAATGTTGTGTGATCTAGTCTTTTTTTTTTTTTTTTTTGAGGTGGGGGTTAGGTGGTTGTTTAAATCCCTGAGACACAACACTCATTAAAGAGTTCTTAGCAGTTTACTGTGTCCTTTGTGGTGAATAAGTATGTTCTTCAGGGGATATGTACTTTCTCTGCAGAATATGAATTGGTTTAATTAGTAACTCTGCAGGTTGTGTTTCATGAGGTAATATTTAATGTGATATTTTTAGTTGCAGCTGAAGAGATTTGAGGTCTAACACAACATTGATACTTCTAATTATACTTTTTTTCCCTTCAGATTGGCTGATGTCAGAAATCAGGTGATATTTGCTGTCCGTCAAGAATATGTCGAGCTTGGAGAGCAACTCCTCCAGCTTCGGTCGGGAGACGAAATTGCCATTATCCCCCCCATTAGTGGAGGGTAGTGGTCATGAGCTACTTGGGTGTGTGAGATACGTTTTTTTTTTTAACCAATTTTGTGGAAAAGGATCACATAGATGATAACTTGTATATGATTTGCTTTAAGTATATACTTTTCGTAAGTCTGTGCCAGTAAAGAGTTGCTGCTATGATAGTTGATGTAGACAGACTTATACATATCTGTGTATCATCTCTACGTCTGTTTTCTTGTAAGCAGTTTAATTTTATGTCAGTTTGACATGTTCATTCTCTCCACTTGAAATGGTTTATTGAAATTATGTGTCAGGCACAGTGCTGGATGCTGGACTATTAATATTCCTATTTTGCGGGAAGGAAAACTAAAATTCAGAGAAGTTAAAAGACTTGTCTATGATCACATAGCTAATAAGTGGCAGAGCCAACATTTGAATTCAGATTATTGGATTCTCTGTACTTTTTCACAAATATGTTTATTAATACAGGATAATAGCTCTCCTGGGTACGAGAAATGTAGAAAGACCGCTGTGCCTGACGAGAAAGCTTACCGTTTTCCAGGTGTAAAGAAACAGCTTTATTCTTACAGCTGTGTTGCAGGTAGCTCTAGGACCCAAGGCATCTTCCCGAACAGCATAGTCTTTATCGAAGTAGGATGATGCATAAGAATATCTCTTAGTATAGTCTGGAGAGAGAATGAGGCTACTTTATTGACAGCTGAAGAGCAAATAATGTAGAAATTAATGATTATCCCTAATTAAAAGTTTTTGGTAAGTTAGGAATGAAAAAAAAAACCTTAATGTGATAGGGCTTTTCTCCAAAATCAAGAGTAAATATCATACTCAATGGCAAAACCTTGGTTTCATTAAAGAAAGGAACATACCAAGGATGCCAGTTTATTTTTTTCACCTATTTTTTTCCTCCACTGTGTTGGAGGGCAGTGCCCCAAAAAGTGAAGAATATATATTGCAAAGCAAGTTACGCATCATACTGATAAAGACTGGATCTTTCTTAGTCCCACTATTTGGAAATAGTAGAATTTGTCAGATATTTTTCTCAGTTTTACCGGGAAACTTGTCACCATATCACCACCATGATTTTAGAAAAATGCCATTTTCTTGAGTTTGGTATTCAGAAGATAGTATGCTGCCATTAAAGGGGTGTGTGTGAGAGAGAGAGAAAGGATTAAAGGTGTTCTTTGGAAAGCTTAGAAAGATTACTCAAACAGCATTATGTATTGTTTGAAGGTGTTTGACAGGATTTGTATCATGGGGTTTTAGAATCCATGTCCTTACAGAATCAAGTTGTAGGAATTTGGTATGGTTCCAAGTTCATAGAGCATAGACCATGTTTGGGTTACCTATAAGTTCTTGTAAGAAGCTCAGGTGGCATGTACAGAAGGTTGAAACATCTTAGAATCCAGTGGAATGTGAATATTTGTGCTTTTCTTTTCAGTAGCTGGAAGTATAGGGAAAAGAATGTTGGATTTAGTGAGAGTCCCTGACTGGAATCACCTTGAATGAGTCCTTAACTCCTCTGAGCCTTCTTTCTCAATGTGAATAAAATCCCTCAGATTTATGATTATATCCAGACTCCTCATCCTGCAAAGCCCGACCTGCGTGCCCATTCTCAGCCCATCTGTTCCCTCCTTTGAACCCTGGGTTCCAGCTTCCCCCTAGATTCTGGAGCACACCTTGGTCTTTCTTGTCCTAAAGGCTTTGCATTTGCCATTCTGTCTGTCTCTGCCTGGGGGCATTTTTCCCTGTTTCTTTACAGGACTGCTTGCTTATCTTTCAGGTCTCACTTCTAAATACTATCTCTTGAGAAAGGCTTTCCCTGATGCTCTTACACAGCCCTTCGTCCCCAGCACCCATGCTCTGCTTCAGAACCCTGTTTGTTTTTATGTTACCCCTATATATAATTTTTCTCTATTGCTTTGTTTCTCCATTCCTGTGTAGGTGCCCTGAGGGCAGGAATCAGGTTGTTTGTTGCCTGGTCCTTGTCTCGTGCATGGGGTTGGTCTCTTAGTGAGTATATAATAGATGCTTGATGAATGAAATGAGAAATGCATGGCAAAGGGCTTTGTACAACATCTGGTGATAGGCACGCAGTTCATTTCCTTATTTCTTTAGTTACTTAACTGGATTATGTCCAGTTATGAAATGAGTCCAGTTCCTGTGGAGTCAGCATTGCTTCTGTCCTCCTTGTCTTCTTTTTGGATAAAGAAAAAGGCAGTTTAGGTGTGGTGCATGGAAATAGAGTGGGTAGAGGTGATATGCGTGTGGATGGAGGTGTCGATGTCGGACCGACCCCATGATGGGAGAGAAGAGCAGCAATTCCAGAATTTGGAATAAAGTGGCACATGAGATGGATAACATTTTAAGTTGATCCTGTTAATGGTAAATTCCTTTTTATATTCTCCTTGATTCATTAGGAATATTTATAAACATGCTGGATTTTGCTAAAGTTTTACAGCTGCTTATTTTTATCATTCTATCACATCTAATGTACAAAAAATATAAATTGAAAAATAGTCTGTAAGTTGGGTGTTTTGCCTCTAGTACCAATGTTAAGGTTTATTAATATCTTCTAGGGAAGATCTGAAGGAAGTTGAAGAGTCAGCTAAAGAGATAATAAAATTCACCACTGAGAAGCTGTCCATAGATGAAGCCTCACAGTTGGTGATTTCTCCGCTCTGTGGTGCAGTATCCCTGTTTGTAGGTGAGTTGTCATGTTCACAGCTTCTGTTGACTGTATAAGACAAGAGAAATTAGCAAGTGTTTCCCATGCTCAGTGTTAATAGAGGATTTTAAGATACTGAGAACAGTAAGTCAAGATTACCCATGGTGGTGGGTAGAAATTTTTTTGGTTCTTATTTTGTTTTAGTAATCTTCAGATTAACCTATATTAAAGGCATTAAAAGAGTAGGATAAAAGTCATTATGCGTAGGGAGAATTCTGTATTTTCCAAATATTGAGGGGGAAAAATGATAGTGATACTAACTTAATGATAATCCTGGGAGCATAATGTTTCCCATCTTGGTTTGTCCTATGAGTATTTTTGGTATGCTTGCCTAATCAGTGTCATTTTATTTCTGTATCTTTGTGATAATTCTTTTTTCTTTTTTTTTAAAGATTTTATTTATTAGAGAGAGTGAGAGAGAGAGAGAGCACAAGCAGGGGGAGCGGCAGGCAGAGGCGGCAGGCAGAGGGGGAGGGAGAAGCAGGCTCCCCACTGAGCAGAGAGCCTGATGTGGGACTCTATCCCAGGACCCTGGGATCATGATTGAGCTGAAGGCAGACACTTAACTGAAGGCAGACGCTTAACTGACTCAGCTACCCAGGCAGCCCTATTTTTAATTTTTCTAACCAGGTTTTTGTTTTTAGAAAATTTGAAAGCATTTTTTAGACAAATCAGTATGCTGCTTGTCTTTTAAAAAATAATCCTCTTCTATTAATGTGTTGTTTTTATTGTAAGGAAAAACCTTATTTTAATATTTTTCTTTTTTTTTTTTTTAGGGACTACAAGAAATAACTTTGAAGGGAAAAAAGTCATTAGCTTAGAATATGAAGCATATCTCCCAATGGCAGAAAATGAAATCAGAAGGATCTGTAGTGACATTCGGCAGAAATGGCCAGTCAAACACATAGCAGTGTTTCATAGACTTGGGTATGATTTCCTTTAGCAATTTAAAAGTTAATTGCAGTTGTTTTCCATCTTTGTACCGATTCTGATTCTGGAATCTTCCATAGGAATCCTATATTACCATGAGAGGAAGGTTTGTGAGTGATTCTGGCAGGCAGAGTGGAGACACTCTGGATGTTACATTGTAACATTTGGAGACATTTGTCTCCAAATTGATGGAGACAACATTGATGCTGTAACAAAGTCCAAATGTGCCAAAACTCCAAGGCCCCCCGCACAGATGGCCTGTGCTAATGTGTGCTAAAGTCCTTAAGGCCTTTTAAAGAATTGTTTCATAGTCTGGACTCAGTTTGTATGACAAGTCTGTTAATAGATTTTTTTTTTAATGCCTCTGAAGGTCATTAAATTAATTTGTCTTTTCGTACCACTAGGAAGAGTGGAGTTCCATGCTTTAAAAAGAACCCAGCAATAGAGACTCCATTCTGTTATTTTCCATTAGTTGCTATTTTATTACTAATAATTTTAATTTATTAATTTTACCAATTCTATGATTATTTCTGTTTAATATTTTAAATTCTACATTATACTCACCATGCAGTAAGTTTGTGTCTCTAGGCATTACTTGGCACTGTGCCTTGTTTGAATCGGATAGAATCACTGAATGGCCTTTTTCTCAGTGCCCATCAGACAGGTTTAATGGATCGATGCTAACAGATTAGCCACAACCTCAGCATCCCCTCTGCTGAATGCAAGTGGAATCAGTTACTGTTTTTTATTAACTAACCTGGAAGTTTATGTAAAACAGAACTGGATGTTTAGTTGTAAGAATGCTTTACTGGAATTTTTTTTATCTGTTTAGTAGATTCTTTAACTAGATTCAGAAGAAATGGCATTATTTTTTCTTCATTTTTGTTAAAGCTTAGTTCCAGTGTCAGAAGCAAGCATTATCATTGCTGTGTCCTCAGCCCATAGGGCTGCATCCCTCCAAGCTGTGAGCTATGCCATTGATACTTTAAAAGCCAAGGTGCCCATATGGAAAAAGGTAAGAAAATAACTATTTTTGCCATTTGGACATGATTTTTCTCACAAATTTTTATTTTTAAATTTATTTTTTTATTTTTATTTTGTTATGTTAGTCACCATACATTACATCATTAGTTTTTGACGTAGTGTTCCATGACTCATTGTTTTCGTATAACACCCAGTGCTCCATGCAGTATGTGCCCTCCTTAATACCCATCACCGGGCTAACCCATCCCCCACCACCCTCCCCTCTAAAACCCTCAGTTTGTTTCTCAGAGTCCATAGTCTCTCATGGTTCGTCTCCCCCTCCGATTTCCCCCCCTTCGTTTTTCCCTTCCTACTATCTTCTTTTTTTTTTTTTTTAATCTATGTATTGTTTCAGATGTATAGGTCTGTGATTCATCAGTCTTACACGATTCACAGCGCTCACCATAGCACATAACCCTCCCCAATGTCCATCACCCAACCCCCCCATCCCTCCCACCCTCCACCACTCCAGCAACCTTCAGTTTGTTTCCTGAGATTAAGAATTCCTCATATCAGTGAGATCATATGATACTTGTCTTTCTCTGATTGACTTATTTCGCTTAGCATAATACCCTCTAGTTCCATCCACGTCGTTGCAAATGGCAAGATTATCGTTTTTTTCTTGATGGCTGCATAATATTCCATTATATGTATATATACACACCACATCTTCTTTATCCATTCATTTGTTGATGGACATCTTGACTTTTTCCATAGTTTGGCTATTGTAGACATTGCTGCTATAAACATTAGGGTGCACGTACCCCTTTGGATCACTACATTTGTATCTTTGGGGTAAATACCCAGTAGTGCAATTGCTGGGTCATAGGGTGTCTCTATTTTCAAGTTTTTGAGGAACCTCCATACTGTTTCCAGAGTGGCTGTACCAGCTTGCATTCCCACTAACAGTGTAGAAGGTTCCCCTTTCTCTGCATCCTCGCCAACATCTGTCATTTCCTGACTTGTTAATTTTAGCCATTCTGAGTGGCATAAGGTGGTATCTCATTGACGTTTTGATTTGGATTTCCCTGATACCGTTTCTCACAAATTTTTAAAAGATAAGGAATAAGATTACATATAGAGCTTGTATTCATAGGTCTTCCCTAACTGTATAGAATCATGTTTTCTTTATCTGTGAAATAGGGTGTTTATGTAATGTTTCCTTTCCAGGGTTTGTTAAACATGAGAAGTACATGCCCCAAAGAATGCATGGCACAGATTAGGCGTCGATAGATAGTAACAACTAGAATTCCTAGTCGGGACTGGTCCATTGGTTCATGTATGAATTCATTTTCTTTGGATTAGAATTCCCTTGAATTTCTTTTGGAGAGTGGGAATAATTCATGGCTACTTAGGCAATAGCTAAAACAGAGATTTCTAAAGGCAAAAGAGCAAAGAACTCTAGATTCTTTTTAGGAAAAGAAAAGGGTGGGGTATTGCCTCCGGAGAAATTGCATAGTGAGTGGATTTTTAAAATGTAAATAGGAAATTCTAGCTCATTTTCTGTCAACACATCAAACCAGTCAAGAGCAAATCTCTGGTTAAAGAGGACATTCCGAAGGGATGAAAAGACCCAACTCCCTAATTTCTTCCCTGGTGTAGTAATGACAGTGGGATTATTCTGAATTCTCAAACTTCTGATTGCACTTAAGAGTGTAGAATTGCCCACAGCATTCTGGCTGGTAGCAAAGCTGAGGAATGAATTACCGCTCAGATCAGAAGGCGAGAGCAGAGGACCAGAGGGTGAGTCTTTCCTAGGAGGCTACCACCTCAGTCAGTTGTGGAGATGAGCAAATGTGGGGACTCTGACGCAGGGCCTGTGAAATTCAGTGACCCTATTTTCTGAATAAAAACTGAAACCTGTTCTTACAAGGGGATACTTTGGGATTTGAAGATAGGATATGTGAGAGAAAACTGTCCCGGTGCTTCGTGAAGCTCAGATAGATGGTGGCTTTGCTATGAACAAGGCTGCCGCAATTTTGATGGACTACATGAGGCCGTTTCCTGAATAGAGCGCGGTAGGAGGGGCATTGTACATTGAGTTGTGAGCCCGGGTGGCAGAGGTAGTTTTCTTTACCTGAGAGGAAGAAGGGACAGCAGCTGACAGAAAGTAGATGAGAGGGTAGACCTCCAGAATAAGAGAGTGGGCAGGAGTTGGGGCATCATCGCATTTTTATACTTTGAGGACTAGCTGAGCTTTCTATTCACTTTTCTGTGTGTGCGGGGTGAGAAGGGTATACAGGTGTTCAGAGGAAAGTCGAATTTGGATTTCTGTCCCTCAGGAATAGAATCTGATGGGAGAGTGATACATTCTTGTTCCCCTCCCTTCCAAGAAGTATCTAAATTCCGGTGGGGTTCTAGTCCCACCTGTGCTTTGAGATCATTGGTGATCTAGGCAAGGGGTAGGCAGGTAGGTGGGGTACACACAGTTGTCAGTAGGGTGCAGCCCAAACCTAGTTAGGAACTTCTGTGGGTGGTCACTTAATTTCACACCTAGTGGAAATACCCCTTCTACCTACGGAAAAACACATTTAGAAATGTTGAAGTAGTAGATGTGTTTGGAAAGAAAAAAAATGTTTACAACTAATGATCTTCCACTGATCTTTGGCATGACCTTGCTCAGGCTGTCTCCCAACATTTTCCCAAATGGAATTGTTTATTCCATTCTGTGGTTGTACCTTGTCTTGTTAGATCTTCTCGTCTATTGTTTCTCCCACTGGATTGGGGGTCCTTAAGTGTAGGGAACATGTTTATTCATTTTTCTACTCTTAGTGCCTCATACAAATGTTTGTTGGATTGTTAGAGTAGCAGATTTAAACGGATGTGATACTCATTTGCCTGAATTATTCAGAGGTAGTTGAATTTTTAAGCCACTCTGTTTTGAATACCTGTTATGGTTCTGTTTTTCAGGAAATGTATGAAGAATCATCATCATCTTGGAAAAGAAACAAAGAATGCTTTTGGACAACCAGTGATTAAGTCACACATTTTTTTTAAGAATACTAAAATTAAATTTGGTAAACCTCTGTCTTTAACCATATTTAGATTTTTCTTTCCCAGAAGTTAGGATGGTTTAATGAAGGACAGTCTTTTGTTACACCAGTAACATGTTGCAAAAGGGAGACAAAAAGCAAGTGGGTGTTCAGGATGAACCAGAGATAGAGGAAAGGCTTTAGGGAAACAGCGGGAGAGTAATTGAAATGTGAGGGAAGATGTCGGTGGTAGACATACTCTTCCATGAAGTAGGAAGTTCAGATTACTTAATGTTTTAAGTGTTTTCCAATGCGAAGCAAATTGAAAAGGATTTTATTTTCTTTGAAGGTAATAGTAGATGGTCAATGAATGAAGTACTTTGTGATTTTATGGATGGTTTTGTCCTTTGAACATAATATTAGAGTCACAATATATTTGTTTGCTGTGAGAAATAGTGGTCAAGAAGCCAGTACTTTGAGTCTTGATCTCCAATCCCTGAGCGAACCTATTGGAGAATTTGCAAACGGATTCCTGGATGTCTTTCCATTTTCCACTGCCACATCTCTCATCCAAGCCAGCACTCCAGGTCTCTTGGACTGCTGCTGTGGCCTGCTGACAGTCCCCTGCTGCCGTTCTGCCTCCCGCTGAGTCACTGCATCCTCCTTGGAACCGTCTGAGAGCCAGTCCCAATCCTAGAACACCCACTGTCCTCTCCGTGGCCTACAGTCTGTGATTGGGCTCCCGCCTGCTCCTCACTTGCTCCAGGCGCCCCGGCTTTGCTGTGGCTGGTCTGCAACAAGCTTAGTTTGTCGTAGGGCCCTTACTTGTTCCTTTGTCTCGAATGCTCTTCCTCCAGGTATTCCCACAGTCTGCTTCCTCACTTGATATCAATCCCCGGTTACATGTTATCTCCTCACAGAGCCTTCTCTGGCTATCCTATTTCAAACTGGAGTCCTGGTCCCTTACTCTGCTTTCTATCTTGTTGTGGCCCTTAATGCTACCTGATGGACTATATCTGTTAGTTTTCTCCATCACTAGACTCTAGACTTCCTCAGGTCAGGGGATTTCGGTCAAATGTCCCCACCACTACCAGGCACTGGAAAGTGCTGTTGGTGCTAAGTATTGTGCCCCAGATTAAACACACCTGGCACATGTGTAGCTGTTGTGTGAAGGTATCTGGCTGAATGCATGAGTGGGTGGGTTTCCGCTCTGCTCCTCCCCCACTCCCGTACTGTGAACGTCTGCGGAGCGCGGAGGTTGTAAGAGGTCTCTTGAGGCGGGAGTGATCTGGGATGTAGTTAGTAGCTGACCCGGCAGAGGGCAGCAGAGCCAGCAATAAGAGCAGCTTGAGTCAGATGTTTAGTCTGCTCCTTTTCTTTTGCATAGAACCAAAATTTCAGTTTAGTTAGCCTTTTTCTTTAAGTTAGGGTTGGAGTGGTTCTTAGATGAAAAGTAGTGTCTGGCTTTGAGGAAGATTATTTCCAGGGCTTAATTGGTACCCGAATTTAAAATACTGAGGGGTTATGATAGGATGAGGATGGAATTTTTAAAAATGCTATTTATAGTTTAGAAAAAGTGACGTAGAATAAGTAAGAGGAATTTTAAAAATGAGTATAAAATTTTCCAATTTGGGACAAAGTGATAGCCTTAATATATAGATCTGTGACAAAACTAATGTTCTTTTTCTTCATAGTTGTATTTTCGTGTACGATGCATACCAGACACACTCACTGGTGGTAGTTCTGTGGTAAGCCGCCCTGACAGCTTGGTTCACCAGGACTGAGATGGGCAAGGTTGAGGAAGGCATTTGAGAGGTCACCTGATCTGGGAATGGGAGACGTTTGTGCATCGATGTAGATGGAAGCATGTGCCACCCAACCTTTGCATTAATGTGCCATCTGTACAGTGAAGGCCAGTCGGTAAGCTTGCTCTGTACCTTTCCTAACACATAATAACTTAAGCATATTTAATTCTTAAAATATTTAAACTCTCCTGCTTACTGCTAAAACAAAAAAAAAAACCAACCAACCAAACAAAAAACTTCAGATGACTGCTTTGGCAAGTTGCAACAGTTGGCCAACGTTTTTTCCTCTCTATTCCAAGCACACATTTTATTTCAAGTGAGTTGTGCTTTAGAGCAGTGCCTCTCAGACTTTACTATGTAATGTAATATGAATCATATGGGGATCTTGTTAAACTTCCCATTGGCGTTCACTAGTTCTGGATGGCACCTGAGATATGCATTTTGTAATAGGCTCTCGGTGATGAAATGTTGCCTATCTGTGGACACACATTTCGAGGCAAGGTTTTACACCTAGTCCTTAAACCATGAAGGTAGTTTAAGGTTCTTACAGAACATCCTGTGGTCACTGCTAGTAATTTAAGAGATTAGATACATCCTTCCAATTCTTACTTTGTTTCAGAACACGTTCAAGACTCCACTGGAGTGTGTAAGATAAATACAGTGAAATAAATATACAAGCCATAAAATTAAAAGTCCAAAGTAATATAACTTTATTTTCAAAGCTATTTTAATTATAATTCAATAATGTGGTGTAAAGAGTGTTTACAGTTAAGTAACACTTTTGCTTGATTCTCATAGTTGTTTTTTTCATATGAATGTTGATTACTTTTCCAATTCGATTTGTTTCTCAGAAATGTACAATTAGGTGAACATGCATATGTTTTTATATTGTGGAGAGAAAAAAGGCAAAAACCAGTTAATTACATCTTAAAGATTTATACTTTACATGAAGGAAAATATCCAAGACAGTTTCTCTTTAAAAAATATACAATTCTAACATAGTTGTGCAATATATACATTTTTATTTTGACTTTGTCTGCCAAAATCCAGTACAGATGAAACCATCTTTTTGTATTTACATATGGCTACATTTTCATTAAGGTTCAAAGACATAGTTAACATTTTTATTTCAAATTTTACCCTCGTGTATCTTTTACCTTTAGATGTTTAGCCTTTCAAATTGTTTATAATGGGTATGCTTAATGTACATGAGGGGCATAATCGCGAAAAGGTGTGGGTGCGGGTATTTTCTGTGTGCAAACTGAAATAGCAAAGATGGCCCAGGGTGCTCAGTTTGAGGGATCCTGCTTTCTGTTTAATGTCTTGAGATTTTTAATATATTAACTTACAGCTGTATATCAGAATAAATACATTATAAAATTATACCTTTTATAATAGCTTTTAGTATAATCACTTGTGTGATTATGATAAATTGGTTTTAGTTTTCATTTCACAGTTAATAGATAACTTCTATTTTATAAAAAGAACACTGCCAGCTAGAAAAAATTTCTTTCTAGTTGGGAGTTCTTTTGCTGCTAAAATGAATGATGCACCATTTCAAGTCTTAAGGTAGCTTCCTCACAAACTATTTTACTATTTTCTAAATGGCTTATGTGGCAGCCATGCATGAAGCAACTGTTTTTAATCACATTCTACAGATCTTGTCTATATACCATTTATGAAATGGAAACTTTAAGATGGTATCTTTTAAGCCCCATATTATACTTACTTTTAAAACAAAAGTATGTCTGAATAGGAATACATAACTGTTTATTTCAAGCAGTGGGTTTTGTTTTAATTTCTTGGATAAATCCTCACCTTTGCTTAAAAGTGCTTGAGAAATACTCACTAGAGCCCCTGCCTCAAATTTTGATCTGATGACAGAAGTAGCGTATTTATATTTAGGCCACTTGCTCTTAGTGTAGTGGGGTTCTCCATTGGGGTGATTTTGCCTCCCAGGAGGCATGATACAATGTCGGGAGATATTTTTTGATTGTCACATCTTGGGGCAGAGGATGCTCCATGCCAGGGATGCTAAACATCCTACAAGGCACAGGACAGTTCCCTGCAAGAATGCATTACTTGGCCCCTCACGTCAGTAGTGCCTAGGGTAGTAAATGGTACAGAGACAAGTGGCTAAGTTTTTAGTTTGTAGTAACCCAGCTACTTCATGGAGACAATGCTGGCAAGGTAGATTACCTAAGCCACGGCTTGGCCAAAGCTCTCAAACTCACCGTGGGTTTTAGTGCTTCTGTAAGAAAGGTGGGGCAGAGTAAAAAGAAAGGAATGACCTGCTAGAATTCCTTGTGTAGCACCCTGAAGAACTAGTATGTATATGTGTACAGTAGTTAGATGGTTTATTAAATACTCTTTATCAACTTGGTGATGTTTTTCCTCTACTCTCAAAGAAGTTTTGGACTCAGAGTCCACACCGCTGTTCTAAGAATTGGGCTCTAGCACATCTAGAGAATACCATGGTTTTGCTATAAACCCCTGACATTTTATGGCTAATCCCCCCCCCCCCAGTTTTGCTTTGTCAAATACAAAATAAATCAGTGTAGGTAGCTTGAGATAGCTCACAGGAGTTGGGCCAGGAGGGCAGTCGGGACCAGATGCACACGGGCATATGCCTGTTTTCAAAGTCAGGTTTTTGGAGGATTGTAATTACAAGAAATCCAGATCAGAGACTTTTAAAGCTAAAAGCATTGCTGCTGAACTCCAGCCCAGTCTTCCCATTTTCTTATGTGGACACTGCAGTGTAAAGAAGCAAAGTGACTTGTCCAAAGCTTTAGGTATGCAGTTTCTGACATGAAATAGTCCCTCTGCCTTTCTCCCAGTCCCTCCTGGAGAATGTGTGGGCTCAGAAACAAAGTGCAGAAGGAGAAATGGGTGGAATAGCCCCAAGACAGTTCATTTACATCAGTGACTGGGATGCTCGTTAAAAAACAGACTAATGGGTTTCATCCCTGTCTGACCAAATAAAGGTCTCAGGAGTTGGGACCAAAAGGCTACCTAGGGATCAAACTTGCCCAGGTGGCAGTCATTCTTCTGGAAGTTTAAGTCCTCCAGCAACACACAAACACAGAGGGTATAACTGCCAATTTGGTGGTTTCCAATATCTCCTTGTAGTTTCTTGCAAATTCCCGTGTTGTTTTTTTCTTTTCTTTTTTTGCTTCTTTACACTGCCTGAAATTCCAACAATTAGAAATTCACTCTGGCTCATTTTTCTTACTTGTTTACCAATAAATAGCTCCCTGGAGTTAAGGAGATTATTCACATAAGTATGTGAGATGATTTTTCTTCCTCATACCTGGTGTGGAGCAGCTGCCCCCAAGGAATGGGAGACTGGGCCAAGGGCCAAGGGAAGGTGGTTAACTCTGGATGACTGGATAGGAAGGCGTGCCTCAGGGAGCTTCTAGAAGATGGGGGCACCAGGAGGTGGGGAGAGTGGCTTAGTCCGGAAGGAGAAAGGATGCCGAAGAAATTACTCATCTTCTGAAAATTCAAACTAGGTCCCTGCCAGCCAGTCAAGTTAGCAAGTTGGGCATCCTGAAGGAGAAAGGCAACTTCCTACTTCCTATAGCATAGGCTGGGCCTCTAGCAGATAGGATTTTACCATAAACGTTGTGATATTATGGATTTTAAACAAAGTTTTGTGCTTTGGCCTCTAAACTGCTACCCCCTCTCCACCCTTAAATGGAAGTTTTTTCTCCAGAAAGCATACTCTGGGCTCCTACCAGGTATCCAGGCATGCTTTGATAAGTACATCCTAGCAAACAAGGGACTGAGAAGGCAGCTGCAGGCTGACAACAGCAAATTTTACCCTACTTTATTAAGAAAATTATCACTTTAACTTCTGTGGCAGCTTTGGATGAGCAGCATAAGTTGAAAACCTGTGTTGTTTTCGCCCCATCAACATCAATAGCCAAGCTAATTCTGTATCTATGCCAAGTCCTTCCACTTTTGTTGTTACTGTTTAAAAACAATCATTTTCAATGATTGGGGTTCCCCCCCAATCTGAGAAAGGTTATATTTTTCTTTAAGACTTCTCATGTTTGTAAGCATTTCATTTTTCTGACACAACGCACATTATAATGTAAACTCTGGACCAGCCAATGGAAAGATACCACTTTTCCCCCCCATATAAAATAAGTCTTTTACCCTTTATAGTCCTAGCCACCCCCCCCAATTTCTTCTTTCCAAACTGACCTGCAGTTTTTGTAAAATATCAGGCTAGTTTACCTATTACACATAAAACACTGGGATTTAAAAAAAAAAAAAATTCATTCATGCAAATTGCAAACCCAGGCTGCATGCTGCCAGGAGACTGTTGGGGGCTCAGCTGCTGAGTTCCGTGGTCTCGTCAATCTCATCTGCATTTTTGGACATTTTTTCATATTTTCTTTTGAAGAAGCCAAGCTGTAAGATGCAGGTAAACAGTTTACTACCCATGGGCTATTTTGTCATGGAGTCTTTGCCCCCGCCCTGGCCGCCCACTAGAGCACCTCTGGGACTCTCAGGGCTCTGGAGGGGGGTGGTGTGCACACTGTGACCTGGTGTCAGCTTTTCATTGAGGAAATAGTACCCAGGGAGTTGAACTGAATTCTCAATTGCATCAAGTTAAATTTTCCATGGTTTGCTTATTTGCAGCTGAACAAAACATTCAGGGGTCTGGATGTACGGCAGGCTGAAAAAAAATACAGGGACCAAGACCGAGGATCTAAAATCCTTACTGATTGTTTTCAAGGACATAAGTGAGAATTTGCAAATAAATTTGCATTTCCTTTTCTCTTACGATGGAGGAGGTACTATATAAAACTTAAGGCTACTGTTTGATAAGGAAATTCAAGACAGATGTCTTTAGGAGCCCCATGTTTTTAAATTTGAAAAATTTTCTTACCTTCCATAAAACTGCAACCAGAGCTAATAGCAAAAGGATTCCAGCAATTACACTTCCTACTATAACTCCAGTTGGAACTTCAGCTTTCTCATGAGGTTTCATTATTGTGATGGGAATCTGTAAATGTACATATGCAACAGTTGAGTTAATTGTAGCACCCAGAGAAAGTGAGATGGTCTCATCAAATTCTCTAATTTTATAAATGGTGGTCCAGAAAGGTGATGTGACTCACTCATGATCTCATTCCTCAGCTAAGTGCTGTGCAGTATAATTTCTAGAGAAAATGCTCCTGCAAAGTACAGGCAAGGAATAAAAGTTTTCCAGTTTCCTCTCTTTTTAATTGTGTCTGTATTTAGTAGATACGTCACCTCGGACAACCTCAGATGCTTTATTTATAAAATAGGAACTTCGGTTTCTGGCATCGTCTCATCGTCAAGTGACAGCATTTGGAGTCCAGACTTGGAGAGGGGAGTCGAAAACCAAACAAATTAACAACCCCAGATCCCTTGTGATTAAGCAACAGCAGCTTTGTACTAGGATCCTAGATACTGCTTTCACTTAACTCACTCAAGTTATTTGATGTGGATTGTTAAAAAGTGGAAGTAATGGCTCAGGACTCAGGTTGACCTTTTCAGTGATAAACTGTCCTTTAGGCTATTTGTGATTCTTTAGGTGTACTTCCTGGGAATCTTTGTGACTTTGTAATAGAATGGCTGCCCTAAGAGTTCTAATGATAAAACGGTATCATACATACATATATGTGTGTGTATATATATTTTTATGTATATTTTTTTTAATTGCAGAAAGAATCACTGCCATTTCCTCCACAAAATATATTAAGAATATCAAGAGCTGCATTTTGGGGGAAAACAAGTCGACAAAACCCAATTTATTGATTGATTTAACACTACATTACAGTGGCAGATGAGCCATCACAGAATTTCTGAGTTGGGCTGAAACTTTATCTTGCCTTTTGGTAATTATATTTCTTTTCATTTATATTTTCAAGAGCTAAAATAAGGTTTTACAATTTAGGAATGAAGTAACTGACTTAATGGCAGTCATACCTTTATTCTGCATTCCAGAATTTCCCAGTCTGGGGTCCATGGATCCAAAGGGATCCATGAGTATAAAAATTTTTATATCAGATTTTTAAATGGACTGGGATTCAAATAAATTTAAGAATCACTCATCTACCCAAAGGGATATGCCAGTTAATTATCTGGATTCCAAATATTATTCAAAAAATTATCCAGATTATTTGGATTAAAAATGTATTTTCATGGACAAGGAATAGTTGGCCTTTGTTATTTATCAGTATTGACAAGAGAAAATCAAGAAAAAATCTAAAGCGTTCATTAAAATTGTTAGATAAGTGTACTGAAAATTGAAATAGTGCTTTCTGAAAAAAATAAGACCTCGGCAGATGTTCAGGGAGTCTGAACACATTTTTAAAAAAATGAACTTTTAAAATATCTATAGTACTGCTAAGTTCATAATACTTTGAATTTGAAGTCCACATTTCCTTTGGCTCCATTTCTGATTTTCCACATCCCAGCCTCTGAAGAGAGGGTGTGGGCCTTTGCTGAGGGTCGTAAGCCCAGGGCCGAACAGCATCCTTTCTTGGAATCCTTTCTCCTGGGACCAGAGTGGGCCACCAGTGCTGTGAGCCCTACTCTCAAGGATTGAAAGAGGTCCAGAGTTCACAGGGCCATTGGCTTTTTAATGGCTACAACAGTGGACTGAGGCCAGCTGCCAGGCTGGTCTTGGGGCAGAGTCTTAAACTGGGGCTTCCAATTGTTAACAAAAGCATTGCGAGGAAAGTGCTCAGCCAGCAAATTAGCTGAGCTTGGAAGTCCCACTATATCTAAATATGGCCTATTCCAACCAGAGGTTCACTGCAAAGGAGAGTTGTCCTGTGCCAGCCCTTGGAACAGTGAGCCTTTGTTTCCTCTGAAAGTACATTTCTTCGTAAGACTTTTTTTTTTTTTTTTAAAGTCAAGGGGAACATTCATAGTTTTCTAGAGTATAAGAACTCATGAATGGACACTTCACACAGTGCCGGTATCTAGCTATAAGGAATACTAAAAAAAAAAAAACACAAACCCCAAAACCCTCTAATAAATGCCTTAAGCCTACTTAAGCACTTCTCTTTAAACAATAAAATAAAATATGTGATTCAAATAAGCCTCTCTTGAATGTCATAACCTAAGATGTAGACTGTGCTGTGAAAGCAAGAAGAGAAAGGAAGAGCTGCTTGAGGCCTGGATTAGGGAGCCACAAACAGCAGGAGCCCCTTTTGTTGTGCCTCGCAGTGGACTGTCCCTTCTGATGCAGCTTCGCCAACATGGGTTGGGGGCCGTCGGGGAGTGTGGAGGGCGAGTATATCACTGAACGTTTTAGAGTAAAGTAGCAAAACAACTTTGCCAATAAGCCTAATGTAATAAACCTAGGTTTTTAGAGTTTCACTAAGAAACTTGTACAGACGTGTAGGTGAGAAGAACCACTATTCTTAAGTTTTCAGAAAGGAAGGCCTATCAGAGACTAGTGCCCGCTGGGGTGACAGGATGTGCTCACCGTGACTGTGTTTTCTTCGATCACATATATCTGAGGGTTATAGGTGTCGATTTCTGCAGATGCGCTCAGCTGTATGGTCTGGAAAGTTGACTGGAACATAAGAATAAAGAATAGGTTTTATCCTAGCAGAAGTTCACACACACAACTTTGGCATGTTTATTATTTATCCTTGTGGAAAATGACAAGAGCAAAGGGCTCCTATGAAGCCCCAAGAATCTTTATGTTCCTAAATCGGTGATACGTGTAGGACCGCACATGGGAAGCAGCGGGGGAACTGAAAACGTGGGGATACCTGGGCCATAATAGCAAATTAAACCAAATCTTGGGAGTGGGGGTGAAGTTCAGGCAGGCATCAGCAGTTTTTAATTGGGAAAGATCATGGTTCAGATTTTTAAAAACTTTATGAAGTTTTCATCATGAAGGAAAATTGCAAGCTTGAGTTTATATATTTACCTGAATAAGTCAAATAATGGAATGGAAAATCAGAATAAAAACAGTAAAAGTACACTTAAACTTGACCATGCATGTCAGCAGCAGACACCCTGAACCTTTTGTCAAGCTACATAATGAGTAATAATTTCAGGTTTCTAAGTGTTTGTATAAAATACTGGATTTGGGACAGGCATATAGGAAGGACACATTTTATGCTGTTACTAGTAACCATGTAATATGAAGTAACTTTACACGTATTCCTGGACCTACTTAGAGAAAAATGATTTTTCAATGGATACATTATTGATGTGTATTTTGTTTTTTCTGTAATGCAAATGTTGGGACTGATGCTTACTTTGAAATAGCATACAATGCCCAGATTTAGAACTGCCTTCCTATGCTCTGGCTACTAGGATTCAGTTTTTCTGGTTACCAAGGCACATATTTCAACATACTTCATGAGGTGATTTGCTAAATTATATCTGGGAGCCAGAAAAAGAATGCATATCCAAAAAGTGAGCAATTTATTTCCTTTCCCCCGGCTTAGTATGATTAGTTTTAATTTTCTCAAGATGGAAGATTGCATCAGAAGTTAAGCCTGATCCCTCATGTCTTAAGCACACATTATTGGGGAAACATTCACAGTATTGATAATGGTCTCTTTTAAAAAGAAAAATAGCAATTAAATGATGCTGGTTTCAGAGTCCCTGTAGACTAAAAAGAATTTCTTCACAACAGCGATCTATCTGCCCTCCCAAGCCTGCCCCTTTGCACAGCCGTGCACACGATATCCTGTTAACTGGGGTAGTTACACCATGCGAACCTGGGAGAGTGAAGTAATACACCTGCTAGCACTCACAAGGCTCTGCCTTACAAACCGCAGCCAACCATGCCACTGATGCGGAGGCCTGAGCAATCACTTTGTAATGAAATTAGGGAAATGTTTACTTGCAGTGCATCAGAAAAAGGGTGAAAGGCAGTATGCTAATGGACTCTACTACAGGAAATGAGATTTGTATTTTCAGACTGGATCTCCTAGGTGGCCTAAGAACATCCATTTGACTGTTGAAATAGCTGAAAACAAGGTGGGAATAAACATTTGACCTTTTCATGGAGGAGGAAGATGTGTGGGACTCGACAGACACTCTCATGGGGGTTTTTCAGCTCATCCATAACCACTGAAAAAGCATAAATATACTTCTTCAGAAATTTGCTCCCAGAAATGAGACTGCTTCTCCTAACAACGTTTGGGAAGGCACTTTTAAAAGTCTTACAGTTAAAATAATGTAGTTTTAAAGAAACTCAAGAAAACTCAAATGGCTTTTTACAGAGCCAGCATGATTGCATTTTGATTTGCAACAGTTTTCCTTCCCAGCTGGCAAGGTTGCTAAGGAAAACATTTGTTCCTCAAATCCAAGGCTTAGACAAGAACCAATTGGTGAAATCTGGCACCAAACTGCATCAGCTGGGACAGTGGTCTAACTCACCGCATGCTTCCCATCTTCTAGGATTTAGAGGGGTCTGAAAGGCTTGAAAGCAAATGTAGCCAACAACAAAATAAAAGCAAGCAGGAGGAAAACCCAGTTCCTCACTCCTACACTCTCCCACTTCTCTGTTCCCCTCCCTCTCACTGTTCCTCTTTTTATTATGTCTTTATCCAAGAATATTGCTCATATTTTGGTTCCAGGGATAAGTTCGGAGGGAACTTAGTCCTCTAATCTTAAAACTCCGTAGCAGGGAAAACGGGGTTGGTTGTTGGAGAGATCATGAAATGGTTAGAAAATAGGGAATGGACTGTGGTTGGTAAGCACCTTGAGGAGTCATTATTCGTTTAAAAAAAAAAAAAACAAACAAAAAACACAAGAGCCACGAGGACCCCTGGAGGTTTCAGACTAATTTTTATTTTGCTGCCTCAATCAGAGCCAGTGTCGATAAAATGAATAGCTAGCTACTTACGTAGTCAGCTTTAAGGAGCCCTGTCTGTCCTATTTTTCATGCCAGACTGAGATTCTGGCTACCGAAATCTCAGCTAAAAGCAGATATGACTATGGCAGAGTCACACCTGCCAAATGGAAAAATCACTGACATTGTTTTGACATATTCTTCAAACTTTTCATGAGCTGGGAAGGACTTTAAAAAAAAATGGTATATGTATACTGGGCTTTCACCAGAGGGAGGGTAAAACGAGAACAGAGTGGCTCCGTGGCAGGATTCGTCTACCTGGTGGGCTGAGATCAGTCAATTAGCTGGGAGCTCAAGGAAGGAGACAGAAACATGTGCACTTTGATTTGGGCATGTTAAAGTGACTAGGAAGGCAGAAAAATCAAGGGCACGAGGACGAAGACAAACCAGGTGGCCCATTGTGCCCAGGACAGCACAGAGGATCTTGACATCCCAGAGAGTCTGATGTAGGAGGGTGGCATGGAATCTATGAAGCTGATGATTTACAAGCACCCCAGGTGATTCTGAGGCATAACCAGGTTGGGCAAGCTTTGGAAAGGGATCAGAAGCCTATTGCCTTCCAGGGTAAAATTGCTATGAGTCATCTGGGCATTGCTGATACTAGTCAGAATGCTACTTTTGTTGAAGGGTATGAATTTATTGACAATGAAACCTTATGCATCCTTGCTATTGATAAGCCCAACAAATAAAGCTTATACTTACTGCTGCAAAAGTCCCGTTCCAAATTCTGGTTGATACATTAAGGAAGTACTCTCCTTTGCCCTGAAGGTCTTTCATCCAGCAGGTAACATTACCACATGAAGCAGCTCTGCAGTTCTTTCAGGTTGGAGTCAATGGTAAAAGGAAAGAGTATGGGCTTAAAAAAGTAAATGCTAGAATTTTACAAAGATAGATAAAACCCAGTGCTGGGAAGGATCTAGGAAAACAGGCAGTCTCCTGAACCTTCTAACCTTTCTTAGGAGGTTGTGGCACTAGGCTCGAAAGGTAGAAAATGCACGCCCTTTGGCCCAGCCATTTCCCATCTGTATGGATGATAATCAGAAATGTGGTGCGGAGAAGAGTACGTCAAACCTGTTTGTTGCATTACTATTTCTGAGACTAAAAACACCCCCAAACGAAATAATTTGTGTTTATCCATAATGTACTAGTAGATTATTGGATATACATGCACAAAATGCAGTGCAATTTCGTCATTAAACAATTGATAAAGATGCATTCCGTATATGAAAAAAAAAGTTGACAGTAAAAGAATTATGGTTGCCAAGGGTTAGGGAGGAGAGGAGGATGAACAGAAGAGTTTTAAGGCAGTGGAATGATTCTGTGTGATACTCTAATTGTGGATACAGGTCATTATACATTTGTGAAAATCCATAGAATGTCCGACATCTAAGAGTGAATGCTAATGTAAGCTGTGGACTTGGGGTGATTCTGATGTGTCAGTGAGGTTCGTCAGCTGTACCAGTCTGATGTGGAAGGGGATTTTGAGAGTGGGGTGAGGCTGTCCCCCATGTGGGGGCACAAAAGGCAGTTGGGAAATTTCTATACCTTCCACTCAGTTTTGCTGTGAACCTAAAACTGCTCTAAAAAATGAAGTCTGTTTAAAAAAAAGTCAATGATATATTAACCTATTAAAAGAAAGGTATAAAAAAACAGCAGGAGGGGAAGAATGAAGGGGGGGAAATCGGAGGGGGAGACAAACCAGGAGAGACCATGGACTCTGGGAAACAAACTGAGGGTTCTGGAGGGGAGGGGGTGGGGGGATGGGTTAGCCTGGTGATGGGTATTAAAGAGGGCACGTGCTGCATGGAGCACTGGGTGTTATACGCAAACAATGAATCATGGAACACTACATCAAAAACTAATGATGTAATGTATGGTGATTAACATAACAATAAAAAATTAAAAAAAAAGAAAGGTAGCATGGTCCATTTATGTAACAGGATACATTTATCTAGATGTGGATTAATACTTAAAGGTATAGAGATGGATGTTCATTAAATACTGAGTGGTTGGCAATTTGACTTCTAGAGGACTTAGTTTGTTTTATGTTGTTCATAGTGAGCAGTTGCCATTTTTACAAAATCAAAACATTTTCACAAAAATAAGGACAATGCTCAGAGGTATATTTTGGCATACCCTGACATGAGTTTCTCCTGGGCATTTTTACGTACTACTGTTTCGATTTAAGCCATATTTACACTGTAATTACACTATAAAAGAGAAACTGTTTCATTCTATTTTCCCGTACCCCCACCCCTACCCATCACAAAATAAAACAATTTCAATAAATGAAAACCAGAATTTCAGTGTTGTTCTTAGAGGAGAACTACGGTCTGTTGAGGGTTACTGTTTGCTAAATGTTTACTATTTGAGTTCTTAATATGTGCCAAGCACCATACCAGATGCTAGACTAGCCTCTTTCTCAAGGAAAGGCACATCACTCTGGAGCAGGAGATAATAAAATATTGGAAAACCGAGAAGGGTGGCCAGAGAGGCATTTTAGCAGCTGAATAAGACCTCAGTGATGATGTGGAAGGGGGATGTAAGGAGCTTCACCTTCAAAGTGCATGCGCAGATCCCTCACAGCTCTTCACAATGCTTACAAAGTGCCTGATACAACACAGTAGTTTCACGTGGAGTCCTTTTGATTTCATGAAATCTGATACATGGATTTTATATTACCGGCATAAGTAATAATCCCAATAACCTAGATTTGGGAGTGTATTTTCTAAATCTTGATTCATACAGGCCATCAAAGCCAAAACGAGAAAATTCTGTAATATGAGGTGATAGAAAAGGAGTGCTTTGATTTCCAGGTAAAACAAACAGTGAATCACCCAAAGAAATAGTCACCCCATTAACCTGTCCTCACCAATTCTTTTATGTGCCGGAAATTTTCATTCTTGAAAGACACAGAAGGAGACGTGTGTCCTATTTTCAGTGGATTTATTTCGGCATTACAGCTGATGTCACCAGCCTGTAAGGAAGGACATCCAATCAGTCTCAGGAAGCAAAATTATTTCTATGTTCCTTTTAACATGTGAGGAAGTCCTGAGGTCACATGTCGGGGTGGGGGAGGGATTTTAGGCTTCTTTCGCCTCCCTGACCCTGCCACACGTAAACCTGGAAGTATTCAGATTCTCCTGATGCAACGAGGGGTGTGTGGGTGGTACCGGTTCTTACAGCCTGATACGTAACAAGACCATTTGCAATAATAATAGACTGTGACTGACAGAATTCAGGGCTCTCTGTGGACCATTTTAAGACTGATTTCCTGACGTCACCTGTGCATACCACAGGAGTAACACTACCGGAGAGCCAGCTCTAAGTGCCAGACGAAGGCTGAGCCCATGTCAAGGGGTTTGGCTCGACAGTGCTTCTCCACCCGGGCTGCACATTAGAACTACCTGGGGGTGGGGGCTTCTAAGGAATCTTTGGTGCTAGAGCCTCTGCCCTGAAGATTCTGATTTAATTGACTGGGGGTGGGCCTGAGCCTGGGCAGGAAACCCAGCTGATAAAAACAAGGAGCCAGGGTTGGTCACTACCAGGTCAAAGTCCAGGCAGGCATCTTAAAGACCAGCTACTAATTGCGGCTGTGTAGACCAATTAGTCTCCCACAGTGGCAGTCAACTAATGTCTCCATAAGCAGGACGCTGACAAAGTCAGATCTTCACCTGGCCAAAACCAAGCTTTAGCAATAATTTCTGCCATCTGTAATTGTTTCCATATAATAACCTGCTTCTAATATGAAACTGACTGCTAGTTAATTGGCCCTCAGGATGCATAGCATTTATCTTCTCAGTTTTCCATCTGTACGATATCAAGACACGATCACCCTAACCTCATGGGGGTATTTCCATAATGAAAGTGCACACTTTTATAGGCAATTCAGTTGCCCTTACCTGATCTGTGTGCACCTCAGTCAGGTACATCAGTGGGTTCTTTTCTTTGGTGTATTGAGGGATGTGGATGATTACAGATGCCATGCTTACTGGAACACTCCCTGTTGTTACCTGCATAATATGGAGGAAAACATTCTGGTTATTGCTACATCATGCACATGTTGCAAAGAAAATGATCAATAACCTCTTTGTTGATGGAGGGCAACTATTAAGTGGTAAGACTGAGTCCATTTGGAAGTAAGTCTTGTGACTTTAGAGTCAAACTCGGGTGGGTCTCTGTGTCTCACCTTTTCGCGGAGAATCTCAACATCTATAATGTGAACTGGTAAGTAATTTGTGACTTAGAAGTTGGTTAAAAACACTTAATGTTGAGTTGGGCTACCAGGGCTGAAATCCCACTTTGCCCCTGACAAGCAGTGCGGCTTGGGCAAGATACCTGACCTCTGTATGCTTGTTTTCCTCATTTGTAAAATAAAAATAGTCAGCAACTTAGGGGGTATGTGCAGGTACAGCATTTGTTCTCATTGGTGGGGAATCTAATAGGCCAGTGCTCATGTCCTACTGGTTGTTAAATATTTTTTTAAAGATTTGTCAGATATATACATATATATAGAGAGCGAGCGAGTGAGCATGCGCGCGCGCTCGCAAGCACGAGCAGGGGGAGCAGCAGGCAGAGGGAGAAGTAGGCTCTCCGATGAGCAAGGAGCCAGGTGCAGGACTCAATCCCAGGACCCTGGGATCATGATCTGAGCTGAAGGCAGACGCTTAACGACTGAGCCACCCAGGAGTCCCTATTAAACATTTTAAATAACAACCATGGGGCGCACCTGGCTGGCTCAGTCATTACAGCATACAACTCTGGATCTTGGGGTTGTGAGTTTGAGTCCCACACTGGGTATAGAAACTACTCAAAAATAAAATCTTAAAAAGAAAATAATAGGAATAAAAATCCTACCAATCTTATAACTAACCTGGGAATTAAATTCTTTTTACTTTTCAAATTTTCTATGATTTATTATAAAATAGCAATTTTTCACAAATTTCTCTTTATAATTGATAGCAATCTTTAGATTATAATTGCTTATGAATGCTAATGTAAACTGACTGAAGGTATTTGTGTATAAATGGTAGGCTTCTCAAGAAGAAGTGGTCTCCAAGGATAAACTGGCTTTTTAATTATATTCCAGAGACTTTTGCCCACAGTAATACCATTATATTAACACTTCGTTGATTAATGTTAAACATTTGCTTTCAAAATACATCAGTTTTTTACCCAGAATACATAGCTATGCACAAAGCTCAGCTGTTTACTTTTTGGAAGTCCTAGTGGTTCTCAAGGTATAGCACCGGGACCAGCAGCATCAGCAACACCCGGAAACTCGTTAGAAACGCACATTTTAATTTTTTTAATTTTTTAAAGATGTTATTTATTTGACAGAGACAGCAAGAGAGGGAACACAAGCAGGAGGGAGTGGGAGAGGGAGAAGCATGCCTCCCGCTGAGCAGGGAGCCCAGTGCGGGGCTCGATCCCAGGACCCTGGGATCATAACCTGAGCAGAAGGCAGACCCTCAACGACTGAGCCACCCAGGCGCCCCAGAAATGCACAGTTTTAGGCTCACCACAGCTTACTGAATCAGAAACTCGGAGAACAGAGCCCATGACATGTGTCTTAACGTTCCCACCAGGGGATTCTAATGCATGCTTAAGTTTGAGAACCACTGGTATATTTCAACTTTTTACTTCTTCTCTTCCTGGTCTCATTCCCCACCCCCTCCTGATTTAGTATTCTTATGACAAGCTTATATATATTCTTATGACCAACCTTAATGGAGAAGATGAATTTTGGACCAATATCTTCAAAACTGTGCACGACAGAAGGAACATTCCCATCTGAGGAGACTTCATAAAAATTTATGTTGGTGGATCTGTTGGATGATGTTTGTAAAGCCAAATATTTTAGTTTTGCTGTTGTTCTCGAAGCTTAATACTTCCTTTATTTAAATATCTTCTAGCTTATATTACAAGTAAACGTTTATATTTAGGTCTAAAAACCTAATGAAAACAAATGCTACTTATAGGCTGTTTCCAAGACAAAAACAAATTCCTTTAAAAACATATCCCTTCATGATCTTTCCACAAGATTCTTTGTGTTCTATGTTGTGTTCTACAACTGGTAAATTGTAAGGTTTCTAAAATAAGTACAAATGTGTTACTTTAGAACTGGTAGAACTCAAGATTGCTATTACACTGACTGGTGTGCTAATGCAGTGCACACTTAGTCCTTGTTGATCAGATGAATGGATTGATAAGCCAGAGGATTTTACACTTGGGTGGCTGAAATGCAATGATAGGGTATTGAGTTTTAGCTCCTGCAGTATTTTGTACCGGATGCCTGTAAAATAGGGCATACATTTTCCTTGTTATTCCTTCTCCCTATCCTTCTCTAGTTCCAAACCAACTCTAATGTTTTTGGTCTGAATTGAGGTTGGTCAATCTGTTTCCGTGACTAGTGTAGAGACCACGTTTATGAAAGGCTGACCCAGAGGTTTCATTAGACTAAACTTAGAGGTATCAGATGATTTGATCTCTTTGCTTGGGGTTGCCAACTAAGGTTTGCAAGTGAAGGGAGGACCATGTCAGAGGAACCCCGACAGGACCGCTCAGACTGGAACATAACTGGATACCCTTCCCACACTCCTCTTCACTCATTTCCGGGGCTAAGGCTGGATTCCAACCAAGCTAACCTCATTGGGACCGTGGGGGCTTCGGTAGCAGGCATAGGGGTCCAAAAAGCAGTATTTCTTCCCCCTGGGCAGTGTATCCTAATTCTAGGATGATGATTCTATTTCCTAAAAAGAAATTTGAACTGGACATTTTCTGAGATAGTTTTTGGGCTTCTTTATGGAACTCCTGTCTTTTTTAATGCCTAAAATTTTTCCAAATTCTCTAAAGGAAAATATGTCCAAGGAGACTCAAATAGATGTGGCATTTGTCAAGGTTATGGAGATGAGAGGAAACAATGATTTGTCAGTCTTACATGGAAAATGGGAATACTGACTAGACTTTGAAACAGAAAGCCTGGCTGTATTTGCATGAATTATTCCCTTTACCTTCCAGAAGACCTTTGTGTGAGCCCCTAAGAAGTTAGTTTCTAAGTTAGTATATTCTGCTTTTGCAGTTTAAAGTGATCTGACATTTTCCCATTTGTTACTTAAGTTTTCCTTAAGTTAGGTGAGTGCGGGTGATCAGTGTATTTATAAGCAGTTAGCTAAGCTTAGGGGGCTCCTGTTTTTAAAATAATTCTATCATGATTTCCACCCATAATATTTGCACAGTATAACTGTACATTTATCAAAGTGGTTGCTACACTGCTTAATGATTGGGTAGGACTTTTTCAAAAAGTTAAAAAAAAATTTTTTTTACAGTACTTGTGATGGTTAAACAAAATAAATCTGCAAAGCAAATCTTATTAATCGTGAACTGGTTACATAAATTATGATCCAGCCAGGAATAGGATAAGTTAGATCTGTATGTCCTGATATAAAAACTTCTCTAAGATTACATAAAAAGCAAGGTTAGAGAAGGATTTTATCATTCCATTCGGGTGCGTGTGCACGTGATGTGCGTAGATCCTGGTAGACAGACAAATCTCGCATGTGGAAGGTATTCTGAAAAATAGCTGAGTCATCTATGGAATTTCCAGAGGAGGTGGGAGGGTAACTTCACTTTTCATTGTCTTTCTGTAGTGTTTGGATTTTTGGTTTCTTTAAAAAAACATGAAGAGGAATTATCTGGGTGGTGGGATTAGGAGCCATTTTAGTGTTTACATATCATAATTCTCCATATTAATTTGTAAAAAAAACTTTCTGGTATATTTTAAAGAACATCAGATGGTCTTAAAATCCAGTTTACTATCACAAAAATACAGAGCTAAGATGTTACTGAAAGTGAAGTCCCACTTCAATCTTATATTTATTTCATGTTAAACTATCTGGAAAAATTGGCCATGGTGTGAGACTAGAATCCTATAAAGGCTGTGTTAAGAAAAAGCATTTAGGGTAAGAATCAATGTAGGTAGGAAGAAAAAAAGTCAGGTACTGTGGTAATAACCTCTCTGGATGCACTGGTCTTCATTTCTTTGAGCACTGCGGGTCCTTTTGGAATCTGCAGTTACTGATTAATTTTTCAGGGATGGATGACTTGGGCTATATTTTGTTCTGCCTTTGCTGTTTGCAGAAGCATTCTTTCATCTTTGCTCATGTGTCTCATGCTCTTGACATAATGACACATTTTCCTTTTTGTTTTTGCTCAGTGACCTACTGCATGATCTGTGTTCCATGCTTTTAGGGGGTGCGGCAATGTGGCAAATTGGAGAAATCCGCTGTCCCTAAACACTGTGCGAGGCCTGGCTTCTTGGCAATACACTGCAGCGCATTTTCCAGGCATGACTGCTGTGTGCTAGGAAGCTGCCTTCGTGCCTCACCAGTTGGAGAACTCTGGCTCCCAGGCTGGGAGTGGGGCATCGCCTTCAGCCTGCGTACCCGCACAGCTGTGCTCATGTCTGCGCCCATGAACCTGCTTCCCTTCTTAGGGGGAGTTAAGGTGACGCGTCACCCTATTCGTGCCTATGGTGTTCCACGTGTTAGCCACTTCTCAAGACACCTGCCCCTCTGAACAGTTCAAGATAGCTGCTACCAACCAGGATCATTTTGCCACTGCTTTCAGCTATGCTTGCTCTGGTCAGGCAAGAAAAGGGAATAAATACAGTATTTCTTCGTAGATGACTTCCTTTGGGAAATGCCTCATTTCCTCTCACTTGGAAGAAACCCCTAATCGGTTATGTCAGGAATTTTCCACCCAGAAGCTGATTTTCTGTAAGGAGATTTCCTATTTGTGGTGGACCTACTATGTGCAAAGCATTGTGCTTGGGGCTTCAGTGTTTAGGGATGGGGCATTGCTTGCGAACTCATGGGGATGGCAGGAAGCAGGCGTGGAGAAGGAAGTGGTGGCAACTCCTCAGGGCCCAAAGCGTTCTGCTGTGGCCCCTTAGGGAAAGCGGGCACCTCATCTGAAGGCCCGCAGAGGTCTTTCCCTGCGACACGTGGCAGAGGGGCTGCTCCTCTGGCTCTTCTGGTGTTGCTCTCAGTCCATAAACGACATAGTCACTCAAGGTTCTCCTAAGGACGCACTTGTCCCTGGACTTCTGTTTTAGTTGGCAAGGGGGAAATATTTAGGTCAAATTTTCCAGTTAAGAATGAACATATAGAGGATTTCTTTAGTCACGAACCAAACGTGTTACAAACCGAGTGATATCAGTGGCCACAGGCTACTCAGTGTTTCACCTACCTCGTGATGTGAATATCGGCATCATACCGCAGAGGAATTTTGAAGTTGACCAAATTATCTGCCTTGTTTTCTTCATGGCTTTCACTATTGAAACAGACATTAGGAAACTACTTAGAAATATTATTAAAGCCCAACTATTATCAATTCATGGCTTCATTATGTTTTACCTTAAGGCTTGGAAATGGACAGATGCCTGATTCTGAAGGTTTTGAAGATTGAAGTCAAAGTTAATAGTGAAAGTCACCTATACACAAAATTAAAGTTCATTAATCTAGGATGGTTCATACTCAGGGACCAATTAAAAAAAAGTTCCCCAGAAAAGCAAACTCACCCCAATTTGATTCTGAATTGTATATGCCTTAAGCTTTCAAACTGGTAGAATATCTGTTCATCCACTTTGCTGTATTTAGCGTGCCTCACCTTTAGAATTAGAGGGCCTACACCTTTGGAGTCGCGTGTACAGATCTTCACATCACAGGCATAGCTACTTTTCAGAATTTGAAAGTTCTGTGCCAATGTGAAATTTGCCCACCAGGGGTTAACACAGGATAGCTGTGACTCTATACAGCACTCTGACCAGTGTTGGTCAATGTATTCAGTAAAAAAAAAAAAAAAAAAAGAACTCTCCCTCTTGTATGTGCTTTTGAAATGAATTGCATGGGAGAAAAATCCCACTTTTATTAACAACTTAAACCATTCAGATATTTTAAAAACTTCCTGTAAACATGCAGTTTGTGACACCTGTCAAATGATGTTACCTAACAACGAAGATGGGATGGTGGCGAATGAACACTAGTACCAAGAGCGGCTAGTGTGGATTTGAGGATGAAATGCAAGTTGTACCTGTTGCTCCCTCCTCAAAGCAGGGTAGCCAACATCACAGGTAACAGTCTTCTGAGATGAAGCAATCTGGCATGTTACTTCTGTCCCATCAACCTGAAAGAGACCAAGGAAACAATGATCAATATGTAGAGTGCATGTGTGTATGTGTGCACACGTGTGTGGGCATGCGAGTGCACATACATGCTGAAGGATGTATAAACCACATGGGCATTTTAGCAGGAAAGCTGGTTCACAATGAATTTATTGTCCCCCAAGACGCAAAAAACTTATATTGTCCAGGTAGCTATTCTATTTTTATTGCTAAATAGGACACCCAATAAGCCAAAAGTGAGGTCAAATACTGGAATTTTCCCCCAGAACTATAAATCATAGTTCTTATATTTCAGAAGCACAAAATAACTTTAATCCAATATTTAGAAATGCTGTCTTTAATACATACTTTTCTCTCAATATATTTGAAATTTGTACTTTCAAGAGAAGAAAGCAAATCGTATGTTGGTGTTTGTATTTTAAATAATTTAAAGAATCTTTTTTAGTTCTCTCTTTTTTTTTTTTCCTCTTTAAAATAAGAAGTTCCCATTTGGCACAGGAAATTGAAACACAGAAGTCAGAATAGATTTAGAACACTAAATCTGTTAAGTTCGTGTTGACTTTAACTGGGATGAAGCCATTTTTAATCCTTTTATCAAGTAGTGAATTTGGGAAATCTCAGCTTTTCCCTCCTCTCCCTTTCATTGCTTGGTGGCAGTGGAGGGGCCAGAGGGACATTCATGGCCAAGTGTGTTCCTGGGATAGTGATCAAGTCAACATGATTAACTGACCTCGCTGGAATGCAGAGTCTTGGCAGTAGCAAGACTTGTGGTTACAAAGCTTGGACCGGGTGCTAGGGGACTCTAACTTCTCAGAGCAAGTGCAGCTTGGAGCATCTGTGCGGCACCATGGCAGCCTCATCCCACAGATGGCTTGAGAAGAGTTATGGTTGTGTCTGGCCAAGTCTCAGGGCAGAGGAAAAACTGACCAAGCTGTGAAGCAGAATTGGTCTAGATACAGAGCCAGGCTACGCTCTCATGTGGTTTAACTAGTTGGGAGCCCCAAAGTTAGGATTGATTGCACTTAGGCATAAGATGCTTCTTCAGATAGCACACAGGACATGGGGATGTGAGTGTGAGCAAGATGGTCACTAATGTCAGGCAGGAAACACAAGAGTGGTGAGCCTGGAGTGTCGTCACCTACCGGCATGGACCAGGAAGCAAAAAACAAGTTTTCTGAAAAATCAACAACAATTCTAGTGTTGTATGCACTTTCCCTTTTGTTTTTCAGTGTTATTGAAAATGTTAACCTTCTGTTTTGGTTGCTGACAATAAAGAGTTGATCTCTGTTAAAAGGAGAAAGAAAAAAAAGAGAAAAAAAATTAAGGTTAAAAAGGCCGGTGTTCAAATACTTCACTCATTTTAAAAAAATAAGAAGATAAAACTCTTTAGATTTGGAGGACTGAGAAAGTTGTTTAATAAACCATCTTCATAGTAAAATGATGCAAACAACAAATAAGTCAATGCTATTAGATTTTCTTCTTCATTGATTTTCATTACATTGCAGGGAGAGGAAACACCCCAAATACAAATGGTTTGAGATTTATTACTGTTCTACTCCTTTATGGATGGTAGAAACTGAAATTCAGATTTTAAGGGTCTTTATTAGTTATGGATGTTTCTTTTGTAGAAAAAAATCTCCATAAACATTCACTTGAATAAAGTGATCTAACGTGTCTTATTTCTATATTTTACACTGAGCTCAAGAGCAGACTTACTGAGCGGCTGATAGTTGTTGGACATCTAGAACTAGATCCGAGATACAAACTCCATCATCCCCACAGTCTTTGTAGAAAGGGATCTACAAAAAAGGAAAAACAATCCCACACATTTGTTCTTGAGTTAAAAACCAGACTGTGGAAGAATACATGCAGAATTATTCCATTTATATAAAGCTCAAAACCATGCAAAGCTAAACAACATTTTAGGAATATATACATGGTTAGCAACACAGGGAGAAAGGCATCAATAAAGGCAAAATGCAAGGTGATGATTTGCCTGGGGGAGCAAGATGAACGTGGATGTGATGGGCGTAGGGAGGGATGCAGAGAACATAGGTATTGGTAACATTTTTTAAGTGGGTGGTAAGCACAAGGTATTTGACTTTATGGTTATTTATTTCTTCAAAAAATATTTATTGAACACCTATGGTGGGCCAGGCACTGCTCAAGGGGCTGGGAATAGAGCAGTGAAGAAGATAAAAATCCCTGTCCTTCATGGAACTTGCATGCTGGTGAATTTTGCACATACAGGTATTTTCACGTAGAAGACGAAGAGCTGAAAAGTTATGTCCTAGGTAGCTTTCAAACACGACTGCGGCAACAATGAAGCTTTCTTAGCCAGTCTGAATTCCAGGAAGGGCAAACTGCACTTACACTGAAGACCTTGGCCTTCTCAGAGTAGACTTCAAGGGCGGGGCTGGTGCCAGGGTTTTCCAGACTGATGTTCACACACAGATCCAAAGAGTTGACAACGTCAGAGGGCTTCTAAACACACAGACACAGCGAGGCAGTTTACTAGGGCACGGCAGCTTCAAAACAAGAAAATGACCACCAATGTGTTCATAATTAAGAACACAGTCCCCTCTCCATTATGGAGAATATCCTTGTTTTGAATTTTCCAGCCTCTTGCTTCTTTTCTGTCTTAATTCTGCCCTTAGCCTCACCACTACCAAGAAACTTAGAGACTTGGGTTCAAGTAAAAATCTGAAGCAGCAATTCTTAGTTAAGCTCACCAGTAATCTTGTTATTCATACACAATTTGTAAGTATTTAGAGGATATGCCGTTTTAATACTTAAAAGTCCTATCAGTACACGGCTCTCAGGTTGTTGGCTACAGTCTTCCCAGTTCCTACTGCCAAGACTTAGGAGTCCTTAGGTATCCTGACCAAATCTCCGGGAGGGCATATTATGACCTAGATGGGAAGGTGCTCAGGGCTGGCTATCAGGAAATGACAAGAGAACTCCCTTCCTTAGTCAGAGCCTAACTCTGCTCTACAAAACCAGGTAAAGGGGGTATCCTCAACTGGCTGCGAGGCTGGCACACAGGATGGGCTTGGGATTGATACCCAATACGGTGTGTTAACTGAAACAAGATCTCTTCTCTGACCCAAATCACACACATTTTCTTAAAAACTTCACAAGTACACATCAGCATGAACAGGATATATGTGTGAACAACAGCTTGGCTGACTTCATTCCCCCCAGGTTTCATTTGATCTATGACTTAGCACAAAAATAGCAGAGAATGAGAGCTGGCTTTTAGCCCTTTAAAGGATGTGTATAATTGGCATCTTCACAAAAAGGTCCAGGCCTTCCTAAACAAGACTCCTTTAACATGAGCAAGAAATTAAACAATGCAATTGATTTTAATTCTTCTATTAACTCTGTTTTTCCAACTCATATTTAGTAGTTTTTGATATGTGATCTCTGTATCATTCATCTATATCAAAAATATCTGGGAGTTCTCCTTAAATCTGCTTATACCTTGGAACTTTAAACCCAAATTTCTGGTGGTGGGAACCCAGAATATGCATTTTATAAAAGTTCTCTTGGCAATTCTTATGCATCTTGAACTCTGAGAACCATGTTCTAGGAAAGTTCTTAAGCAGCTCTTTTAAAAATGGTTTCCTGAGGAAATCACACTTTCAAACACCATTACATGGTTCTGGGGGGAAGTAGTCATATAATTTATAAAATCAATTTTCTGTTGGAAATTTTCCCTTGAGAAGCATTTTTCTTACTTGTGAGATTTTCAAAATTCATGTCAACTATAGTAACTATGGCATAAGACTGGAGCAAATAATTTTTACCTCATCCTTCACCTATATTAATTTAAATCCAATAGTGGAAATCACAATTGGAATTGTCCTTTTCAGCAGCTTAAAAATAAAAATTTTCCCTGATAGGAAAATGCTAGAATAAAACTTACTGTCTACTAGAAGCTTTTCCTGTTAAATGTTTAAGAAAGCACTGTGTTTGATTTCTTTAAGAATCCTATTTTTAGCCTTTCAGTTGTAATCCCAAATAAAATTTCATGCTAGTAACATACTAATGGAAGGCGACCATATGATAGCATAAATATAGGATTTCCTACTCATAAAATTAGACAAGAAAAGCATTAATTAAAAGGGCAAGCATTTTCTAACTCCCAAGCTTCCTTTCCAGACTTTGACCATTCATGAGTCGTTCAGAGGAAAAGATGAAAGAGAGGACTGAGGCCTCACCTGTATGTGGATGGTGTGCTCAGCGCAACTCTGTGCTTGGCTTATGAGCATATTCTTCTGCAGGCACCTTTCATTATTTTCTTTAAATAAACCCCTGGAGGTTACTCTGGATGAATATAGATCTGCATCAATTGTGATGTTGTAGATAATGGCTATGATAAAAATCACAAAGAAATGTTATTGCAAGTAAACCTTTATAGAAAAACCATCCCTGCCTTACTGTGTCTTACTGGGTGAAGTCAAGGATTTCAAGAAAATACAAAAACAGTCTTTCCATGAATGGATTGTGAGCAGTGGATGACCACGGCATTTGTAATTCAGACTCTGGTACGATGTAGGGGACTGTGGTTACAGAGAGAGGGGATTCAAAGAAGCCTGGCTTGAAGAGTGGGGAACAAAGTGGACTTGCCACCAGGAAATCTACAGAGGGAATTTGGTCAAATTACTCACTTTCTCAAGCATCAGTTTTATCATCCCTAGCATGGTGATATGATAAAGGAGTTACTGAGTGCCTACAATTGAACACATTCTCAGATGTTCCCTTATACAAGTTTTTACTATCAACCTGGGAAGTGGATATCATATTTCAGATACTAAACAGAATAAAAGAGGTAAAATAAACCAGCTCCATTCACACAGCTAGGTCACGGTCAGAAATAAAGCTAGAGTAATTTTGAAATCAGGGCTCATGTTCTTTCAGCTTCCATGCAGTTGTGAGGATTAACTGTTACTTGAGATCAACTCTGAGGGAACACCCTAGATGCTGTATTTGGGGGGAAGGCAGGCAACTCCACAGGAATAAGTTTGGAGTCAGACAGACTTGGTTTGAATTCTAATTCCACCATTTATGAGGTCTATGACTTTAGGCCATTTGTGTAACCTCTTTGAACCTTCATTTCCTCATCTATAAAACAGATAATACTACTAACCCAGGGAAATGAAAATGAAAAAAAAAATGCAATAAAAACTGATGTTATTAGCCAATATACAAAGTATCAGAGCCTTCAGCTAGAGTCTGCTGTCCAAAACAGAAAGAAGATCTGATGATATTCAAAGCATCAGCTGCCTTATCTGGGGTTACGCAATCTTATTTTACTATTTTCAATATTTTAAAGGTTGAATGGACTTCCAACATACATTAATTCTACAGGTTACCTTTAAAATATCTATTAGAGATGTTGGATAATTTTTCTTGCTCCAATGACTTAATGAAGTTAACATAGATAAAATATGTGAATCAAATGAACTAAAAAGTGGTGAAAATAATATAAAGGAAAAATGCCAGGGAGGCGAACGTAGCCAGGATAGAGTTAGTACACATGGTAATACTAGCTCATTTTTCTCAAGTAGCCTGGTGAAAAGGATGGCCTCATAGGCAATATATCAATTTTTTAGGTTATTAACTTTAAACTGGAGCGAGTACCTGATACAATAAATAATAAAGACCGTATGCTTTAGAAATTTACTTCTCAAAGTTGTGAAGATGGGATTCTGGTCTCACTATTATTGGCAGACAATTAAGTGACAAATGATCATGACTGGCTTGTCTGTGTGGACCTGGAGACATCAAGGAAAAGGTCCCCAATGGGAACAAAGCCCAAGTAAGGACCTTCTCTGAAGGCGGAAAGCTGCTTTCCAGTTACAGCAACAGAAGGGGGGAAGCCCCATCGAAAAGAGGAAGATTTAGGAGACAAATCCATGCTTTCAGGCCAGGAGAGTGAACCAGCCAGCCATTTCTGCCAACTAATATATTTCCCGAATTAATGTTTTAGGCAGACTAGCCACTTAATGTTCCCCCCCACCCCAAGCTTTGTTGAAATGTGATGGAGATATAATATTGTATCAATTTCAGCTATACAGTGTAGTTATTTTATATATGTAAATATTAGGAAATGATTACAATAAGGTTAACAGATCATCACCTCACACAGTTGCAATTCTGTGTGTGTGTGTGTGTGTGTGGTGAGAACTTTGAAAATCTCTCTTAGCAACCTTCAGATACACAACACAGTGTTGTTGGCCATAGTCATCTAGCCACTTAGTATTTATACAGGAATGGTTTTTGACTCAACTCTCCTGGCTACTCAAACGGACCTGCTACAAGGCAGATCTGTGAGATGTGCTACTCAGAGTTGGGTCAGTGTTTGAACGCCTGAATGGAAAAATGCCAGAGAGCTATAAGAAGTAGGAAAATATGCAAAGCATGCCAAGATGTGAATCTAACTTCTGCTTTATGTTTTTAACCTATGTATTTCTTGGTATGAATCATGACAAAGACTGAAAATATAGAGGCAGGTTAAGTTGGTGTGTTAACCACTTAATGAAACACTTGTAGGAACTACAGGTGTCTGAAGGTTAGAGCCAAAATCTGATGGAAGGGGGAGGAGAACCCATGAAAAAGCAGCGAGAGAAAGAAGGCAGTGTTTAAGCAAGTGCTAACTCCATTGCCGTGCTCTGCAGGTGCTGGAGTAGGAGAGGGGAGAGTGAGGGGCAGTGGTTCGGAAGGACTCGGTCACACCCTGAAAGAGGACTCGCTGGTCCGAGAGAGAGATGACAATTCCTGGCGACATTTGTCCAACTTTCCTCACTCTTTCTTGCTGGCAGGACACGTTTCAGATTTTTACCCACTTCTCCAGATTATTTAGAACATTTAAAACACTGGGCACAAACTGCATATTGTTTATATTTTCTCTTATTATCTCATGCCTATTAATTCCTCAAGAATAGGAATATTTGGTACTTGTGCTATACACACTGTATCTAGATCATGTCATAGCGGACATATGGCATAAAATATGGGTGTAACATCAGTGTCATCCGTGTGTGCCCAAGATTTGAGGTAAGGAACCCATGCGTAAAAGACATTTAGATAGAGTTGGGAGAGCCTGGGACTAGGTCCAGAGATGGTAACATTCTGCTGCAGAAATTTACTTTCTAGAGAAAACAGAGGAAGATCTACCCACATCTTCCATACCTAATTAACCATTCTGAGGCACCCTAAATGTGTGGCAACTTAAATATCTGCAAGACCCTTATTCCTTCTCGTCTATAAGCCCAAAGTATAGGTTATATTCAGGACTAAAACTCCACAAGCAAACCTATCTCCACACAGATTATCTCAGGTCAACCCACCCACTTGATCGTTTTGCTTAGTAGGTCTAAACTTGGCACTGAAACAGAGTTTGAGTTTTATGTCAGCATTCTTGTTGAACAAAATAATTTTTTCTGGTGTGAACAAAGCTTCCACAGATACATCAGCAATACTTTGTGACCTGAAAGACATAAATGGAAACAGATAGGTTACTGCCAAGTGCACATGTTATAACCTTTACCTAGAGGACCCAGGGCCAGCATTATCAAATTATTCTCTGCATGATCTAAGCACTTGAGCAGTATTTCATATTTGAAAGCTCTAAAATGGCAGGTAGGAAAAAGGTCTTCTGTGTTTGTGACTGTACTGCCAGCCCAATCCACATTTAATATTTTTTGTTTGTTTGATGCATGCATAAGTGCAGGATGTGAGTCTGCAACCTCTTTGCAAATAAAGTCAAAGTCATGGTCCCTGTTGCCTATTGCCAACCACAAACAGTAATGTTTGCTCTTCCACAAAGGAAGGGAAGAGAGCAGGTGGCAAGGTGGGAGTGATGTGGCTGATGACCCAGGAGCATGGCCATGGCCGAGGAGCGTGGCCATCTCCCTGTTGCCTCCCTTAATGGCTGGCAGCAATTCTTTGATGTGTGGCATATGACCACGATGGTGACAACTAGCCTGATACCAGAAAATGGCTGGGGAGTCTCTCAGGCAGGGCGCTAAAGACTTCAGACTCTCGCACAGCCCTTGAGATATCTAAAAATCTCTCACATACACATGGCCTCATTTGCTCCTATAACACTCCTATGAAATAGAATATTGTCTCCCTTTTATTAATGAAAAAAAGTCTGAAACAAACAAAAAACATTTAGTAACTTATCAATTTACTGAGTAATAGTTAGCATGTGAGGAATTAGAGCTCATGATCTCCTAGTTCCGCTGCCAGTAAAATTTTGTACTTCATCATAATGACCCTGTGTGCACACGCTCCATTATTTACAGAGCAGCAGGTAGTAGTAATTAGTAATTTCACTGTTCTGAGAAGTACCACAAGAAGATGCAGAAGACATTTTCTCTTTCATTTCAGGTACCATCTGAAGGACTTGAGTCAACTGAAAAATTGTTTCATCAGTTAATCATGTACCTATAAGGCCCCCTAATAAGCAGCCAAAAAACATCTAACAACAAATACACCATGTCCTCAAGCCTACAAGATCTAAAATGTCTAAGTGAATGTTTTCTGTAAGTCAATCTCTTTTAGAGAATCTTTTATCCCAGTGGAGATGGTGGCATCAATTGAAATGATTTTGTAAACTTTTTTTAAAAATTATTCTCAGGAAGTTACCCAGAAAATCTAGTCTCAGCACCTTATAGGAATGTGACCACAAAATGGCAAGAATCTAGCTTGACTGATCACCTCAATAAATTGACCCGACTCCATGTGTCTTGACTCTTTGAAGACTCAAATCCACCTTTAAAAAAAAAAAGTTTGGCCATCACTGGCAACATTAACAGGGAGTATCGGGGTGCCTGGCTGGCTTAGTTAGTGGAGCATGTGACTCTTAACCTTGGGGTTGTGGGTTTGAAACCCCTGATCGGTATAGAAACTACTTAAAATCTTTTTAAAAAACGGGAGTGTCATAGTATAGTATTTACATAGGCTATGAAGGATGAAGCCTACCAAGATGGCTGGAGGGTGATGTTCACTGGAAGGTATTTTTTAAAAAATTTATAAGAAATCATAAGTCCTGTGACTATGTTATCACACCTTGTATTTTTCTAATGGCATGTTACTCTTAACTGATTTTATTCAGTAAATATATTTTTTTAATGTGTCAGTCTTAAGTATGATCTGTGCATTGTTTTCATCCCATGTGAAGTTTTCATTAAAATGATGCACTCAAAACAATGCATTTCATTTTTTAAAAGCACATGTGAAATATTGTAGTTTATGTAATGTTGTTCGGTTCTTGAAGTATTTGCACATTTAAAACACAGTTTTCAACAGGGATGAATGAAATATATTTGGGGGAGGGGACTCTTGATCAAATGCTCAATTTCTTTCTGATTCCAATCCCTGGCCAACCCAATATATTTATTTTTGTCCTTGAATCACACAGCCCTTGAATCCCCTATTGCTCCTCTCTGCTCTTCAACTCCTACTGAGGTCAGTGAGAGGTCAGCTAAACCTAAATAATGGCTTCTTGTTTATGACCAATAATTTCAAAAGTTACTTCATAACCACATGAGAAGTTATACTTCACTTGTGTGGTCTGAGTGTTCAGTATTTTTAGAGCATTCTCATGAGGCTTCCTTTCTGTGAGCTGAGGTAAGGTTATTTGGAAGATAATATTCAGAAATATCTTGGACACCATTTCAAACACTCTGTCTTTTCTATGTCCTTTATCTGCTCACCATATAGAGAAGAGGAACTTGACAGTAATGTTAAACAAATATTTTTCTTCTCCCACAAGGAAAAACACATTTCTTCCTTTGACACATAAACTATGACACGATTGTCCTGGAGTCTTCTAGAATGCATGTGGCATTTCCACAATTTCAGCACAGTTATCTTAACAGGTCATTTTTTTAGTTAGCTAGTTTGTGTCTGGCTCTCAACTGACTCACCAGAGCTGAACGACTTGCCCAAAGGCACCAACAGAGTCTTCTAGAATGCCTGTGGCATTTCCACAATTTCAGCACAGCTATCTTAACAGGTCATTTTTTTAGTTAGCTAGTTTGTGTCTGGCTCTCAACTGACTCACCAGAGCTGAACAACTTGCCCAAAGGCACCAACAGACACGTCGGTGATAGAATCCCCATTTAAGTCACCATAACCATCCAAAGATCTCCCAAAGTACTGGAGCTGGCTCCTAAAGGCTCCATCGGATCCCAAGATTTTCTGAAAGAGCAAGTTTGACATGAAAGTATAATGTGTAACAACTGAAATAGAAAAAAAAAAAAGGGGAGCTTCTACACTGCACTGTTAGATTTTCTATATAGCCACTTCAAGTTGTTTTATCCTCCACAAAATCCCATTGATTTTTCAATCACAGCTTTTCTCATCTGTTTATCATGCTTGCAGCCACATTAAAGAAACAGCATGAATCTTTAAACATAAAATCACAAAGCAGCAGATCACTGGGCTGAGCAGGATTTGAAGCGAGCTCAGGTATGATTGCTCTCCTAGACCACGTCTTTTAGGACTTCCCTGGAAAGTTGCCTGATCAATGAGGCCCCCTTGGTCACCCTTTAAACTACCTAATAACTCCCATCCCTTAACATTTAAAAAAATTTTAAATGCCTTATCATTTATTATGATCTGGAACACTTTATTTCACTTACCTTATTTTCTCCTCTGTCTCCTCCACAAAAAATGTAAGATCCACAAAGAGCAGAATTTTATCTGTCCTGTTCTTTTTTTTAAGATTTTATTTATTTGTTTGACAAAGATTGAGAGAGAACACAAGTAGGCAGAGAGGCAGGCAGAGGGAGAGAGAGAGGGAGAAGCAGGCTCCCTGCTGAGGAAGGAGCCTGATGCAGGGCTCGATCCCAAAACCCTGGGATTATGACCTGAGCCGAAGGCAGCTGCTTAACCGCTGTCACCCACCCAGGCACCCCATCTGTCCTGTTCTTTACAGTATCTTCAGACCCAGGACAGTGCTTGACGCAGAGTAGGAGGCTCACTAAATATCTGCTTAATGAACAAATACAGTTCTAAAATAAGTGGGATGGATCAGATCGTCTGCATGGTACTCTGCTACTCTAACATGATGACACTCACATGTGAATGCATCACTATGGAACTCACGGATTACCTGAGAATATCTCATGCGAATGGTGCTCTCATGACCGTTGTAGATATACACAGCTCCAGAGTTCTGATTTTCCAAAGGTGAACCAACTATTACATCATTAAAGCCATCCATGTTGATATCTGAAAGAGCTGCAATCGCTGAACCAAACCGAGCATTTTCAACACCCTCAGGGCCTTCAAGAAATTGGTGCCAATTCAAAACGCCCTTGCAAAGGGGAAGAGAGGGATGATTAAAGCAAACCTTCCAACTTTTATCATTAAAATTCACAGCAAATGATGCCCGAACCATTTTGTCAACTGTTAAAAGCAGACAGGATTTCAAACCTAGATTTCAAAATTCTCTATGATGAGAATTATAAATGAGAATTCTAGCAAATAAGCTCATAGGATGTGTGCTCATAAACCAAAATGAAAGGAGCAAATTCCCTACTGTGGCTGCACACCTACATAACACTGCCCATATCTTTGCCTCTTTCCCCCCTTAATATTAGAATCTTGACCTGTTTCCGAAACTTTTAAAATTTGCTGATGAAAATCTAATATCTTGCATAAAATTAAGATGGAGACACAACAAAAAATCTTATCTTATTTTAGACCTTTTCTTAAAAATTACTGAACAGTGGCATAATTATAATGGGACAGGAAGTAGAAAATGAGACCATTAGGTTCCAGTTCAAGATGGTAAGGTATCTTATTTTAGACCTTTTCTTAAAAATTACTGAACAGTGGCATAATTATAATGGGACAGGAAGTAGAAAATGAGACCATTAGGTTCCAGTTCAAGATGGTAAGCCTGAACTCACCCCCCTTCCCTGGAACCCATCAAATTACACCTATTAATAGAATAATTCCTCCTGGAAAACAAAACAAAACAAAAAAAACAAAAAACAACCGAGGGCTGACTGAACAGCTACTGAACAACCAAAGATAGAGAAAATGGCAAAAGAACACAAAGAGAGACAGAGACACAGTAACAAAGGGAAACTGATGCAGTGGGGATGCAGAGTACTGTGAGGGCAGACACAAATTCCTCTGTCCTTGGGCACAGAAAATAAGCCACAGTTTAAAAGAGCAATTAGCATCTAAAAGAGACAACACTAGAACTCTGCCACATTGTGGAGGAGCTGCAGGCTAAGCTCTCCAAGTCAGAGGAACTGGAAAATGATGGTTTACATTATTACCATTCCACCTTAAAACCATGGTCAGAACAGGGTCTGATCAGCAGATGGGCAGGTCTGGTTGTCTCTGTGAGCTCTCAACCTCACTGACCTCAGCAAGCCCACGGTCCTCAAGCCCACACCAGTCTCAGTGGTGTGGTGCTGGGACACAGAAAAAAAGCCACAGTTTAAAAGGGCCAAGGAGCGGTGGGAACACTCTCTCCCCCTCCACCTTTAAAGACTAGACTGGAGCAGGGGTCCAAACACAATCACTAGTGGATTTAGATGCCATAACATACAGGTCCCAACCCTATAAATGGTAGGGTTCAGTCATCAGAGGGGGCTTGCAACATCAGCAAGCCCAGGGTCCATAAGCCCATACCAGCCTCTGTGGTGCCAGGGCACAGAAAATAAGCTGTGGAATTTAGTTCTTTTTATTTTTTTGTTTTGTTTTAATTAAAACAAGTTTTTATTTTTAAATTAAAAACTATTATTTCCTCCTTTTCTTTTTCTTTCAAATTTTATTATTTTCTTTTTTCTGCAAAAAGCCACAGTTTAAACAAATAACTAGCATATACAGCCATGGCTCCAAGTACAGTCTGCAAAGGGACACCAACCTTCAAGTTCAGGAGCAGTAGCTGTTCTCTCTAATCCACAGAAACAAACACAGAAAGTCAAGCAAAATGAGGAGACAGAGGAATATGCTCCAAAAGACAGAAAGAAAAAAAAAACAACTCAGAAAAACAACTAAATGAGACAGAGATAAGCAACAATGCCTGATAAAGAATTTAATAATTGTGAAGATAACTGGGCTGGAGAAAAAAGTGGAAGATCTTAGTGAGACTTTCAATAAAGACAGAGAAAATATTAAAAAGAACCAATCAGAGTTGAAGAATACAATAACTGAAATAACAGGGAATTAACAGTAGATTAGAGGATGCAGAAGAACATACCAGCAACCTAGATGACAGGGTAATGGAGAACAACACAAGCTGAACAGCAAAAAGAGAAAAGAATTAAAAAAAAAAAAAGATAGATTAAGAGATCTCATGGATGACAAAGTGAACAAATATTTGCATTATAGGGGTCCCAGAAAAAGAGAGGAAGGTGTAGAAAAGTTATTTGAAGAAATAATTGAAAACTTCCCTAATCTAGGGAAGGAAATAGACATCCAAGTCCAATAAGCACCAAGAGTTCCAAACAAGATGAACCCAAGGAGGTCCACACAATGGCACATAATAATTAAAATGTCAAAGGTTAAAGTTAAAGAGAATCTTAAAAGCAGCAAGAAAGGAACAAAAAGTTACTTAGAAGGGAAAATCTACAAGGCTAATCAGCTGATTTTTCTGCAGAAACTTTGAGTATATCCTGCCACTTTCTTCTGGCTTGCAAAGTGCTGAAAGGAAAAAAAAACCAAAAAACAAAACAAAAAAACATACAGCCAAGAATACTCTACCAGACAAGATTATCATTCAGATTTGAAGCAGAGATGAAGAGTTTCCTGGACAAATGAAAGATAAAGGAGTTCATCACCACTAAAGCAGCCTTACAAGAAACAATAAAGGGACTTCTTTAAGTGGAAAAGAAATGGCCATAATTAGAGATAAGAATATTATGAATAAAAGATGTAAAATATGACAACATACACATAAAATGTGGAGAAGGGAGTAAAAATGGAAGAAAAGGGGAAAAAGAAAAAGCCCCCCCACCTTTGGAATGCCTTTGAACTTAAATGACCATCAAATTAATATAGACTGCTCTTTACTTGGAATGTTCTATGTGAACTTCATGGTAACCACAAGCACAAAACCTACGATATACACACGAAAAAGAAAGAGAAAGAAAGCTAAATATAACACTATAGAAACTCACCAGTCACAAAAGAAGAAAAAGGAATAAAACAACCAGAAAACAGATTTTTAAAATGGCAAAAAGTATCAATAATCACTTTACATGTAAATGGCCTAAATGCTCCAACCAAAAGACATAGGGTGACAGAGTAGATAAAAAATCAAGACCCATCTATATGCTGCCTACAAGAAACTCACACCTCAGACCTAAAGATATGCACAGACTGAGAGTGAAGGGATGGAGAAAGATTCACCATGCAAATGGAAGTGAAAAAAAGCTGGGGTAGCATACTTACATCAGACAAAATAGACTTTAAAACAAAGACTGTAACAACAATTATTACATAATGACAAAAGGATCAATCCAACAAGAGGATATAACCATTATAAATATCTATACACCCAACACTGGAGCACCTAAATACATAAAGCAAACATAAATGGATATAAAGAGAGACATTCATGGTAATACAATAATAGTAGGGGACTTTAACAACCCACTTCTGTCTGGACCATCCAGACAGAAAAATCAATAAGGAAACAATGTCTTTGACCATCTTTGGACCAGATGGACATAACAGATATATATGGAACATTCTATCCCAAAACAGAATACTCATTCTTTTCAAGCGCACATGGAACATTCTCCAGAACAGGTCATATACCAGGCCATAAAACAAGCCTCAATAAATTTAAGAAGACTGAAATCATACCATGCATCTTTTCTGATCACAACAGTATGAAACTAAAAATAAGTCACAAGAAAAAAGGAAAAAACACAAATACACGGAGACTACACACCATGATACCAAACAACCAATAGGTTAAAGAACCAATAAAAGAAGAAATAAAATACATGGAGATGAATGAAAATGAAAACACAATGGTCCAAAATCTTTGGGATGCAGCAAAAGCGGTTCTAGAGAGAAGTATACAGTATACAGTGATACGGGCCTATCTCAAGAAATAAGAAAAAGCTCAAACAATCAAAACTTACACCTAAAGGAACTAGAGAAAGAACAAACAAAACCAAAGGAAACAATAAAGATCAGAGCAGAAATAAAAGACTTAGAAATAACAAAAAAAAAAAAAAAGGAAGAAAAGAAAAAAAAACTCAATGAAACGGAGTTGGTTCTTTGAAAAGGTAAACAAAACTGACAAACCCTTAGCCACATTCATCAAGGAAAAAAAAGGACCCAAATTAAAAAAAAAAATCAGAAATGAGAAGAGCTGATACCACAGAAATACAAAGGATTATAAGTGAATACTATAAAAATTATATACGAACAAATGGGACAACTTAGATGAAATGGTTAAATTCCTAGAAACATACAGTCTTCCAAGACTGAACCAGGGAGAAATAGAACATCTGAATAGACCAATTACAAGTGACAAAATTGAATGGCAATAAAAAAAAAAAAAATCAAAAAAAAAAAAAGAAAAGAAAAGAAAAAGTCCAGGACCAGGTGGATTCACAGGAGAATTCTACCAGACACTTAAAGAGTTAATACCTATTCTCCTCAAACTATTTCAAACAACAGAAGAGGAAGGGAAGCTTCCAAATACATTCTATGAGGACAGTATTACCCTGATACCAAAAGCAGGCAAAGACACCACAAAAATAAAACTATAGGCCCGGGGGGTTGAGCAAGATGGCGGAGGAGTAGGAGAGCTGGATTTCATCTGGTCCCAGGAATTCAGCTGGATAGGGATCAAACCATCTGAACACCTAGGAACTCAACAGGAGATCGAAGAAAAGAATAGCAACAACTCTCTGAACAGAAAAGCGACCACTTTCTGGAAGGTAGGACGTGAGAAGTGAATCCGAGGTGATATTTGGGAGGATAGACAGCGGGGGAGGGGGGCCACCGTCGGCCGTTTCTGGCAAGTGCTAGAGCCGTGGAGCACAAAATCGGAACTTTTAGAAGTCGGCTCTGCTGAGGGAAGTTGCTCCAGCGGCTAAGCGGGGGGTGGATCCCTTGCTGGGACAGTGTGGTTTCAGGACCCTCGGGGTCACAGAAAGATCGGGGGTGCCTGAGTGCGGCAGAGCTCCCAGGTATCGGAGCAGGGAAGCCGGCTGCAGAGATGGAGCTGAGGAGCGGGCTCTCCAGCTCAGGGTTGCCATAAACCGTGACTGCAGCACAGTTGGGCCACTGCTCCTCCAGCAGGGACCCAACAAGCGGCAGATCCGGGGAGAC